GATAAAGACATGTTATGGATAAAGAGAATTACTGTGTTGTGTCGTAAGACATCACCTAGATGTTGTGCTCCATCATCTTCAATTTTATTAGATGTGAGACCTAGAGTGGTGAGTGTCTTGATGAAAAAAGTGTAGAGAAAGATACGTTATACATAAAAAGAGAATGATAATTACTGTGTTTTGTCGTAGTGCATCACCTAGATGGTGTGCTCCAACATCCGCAATAATATTACTTTTGAGATATAGTTTGGTAAGTGTCTTGATGAAAAAGTGTAGGTAAACACGCGGTATCGATAAAGAAAGAATGAGAATTACTGTGTTTTGTTGTAATGCATCACTTAGATGTTGTGCTCCAACATCTCCAATATTATTATCTTGAAGATTTAGTGTGGTGAGTGTCTAGATGAAAAAGTGTAGGTAGAGACATGGTATGGATAAAGAGAGAATGAGAGTTACTCTGTTGCGTCGTAATCCATCACCTAAATGTTGTGCTCCAACATCTCCAATATTATTATCTTCGAGATGAAGTGTGGTGAGTGTCTAGATGAAAAAGTGTAGGTAAAGACATTGTGTGGACAAAGAGAATTACTGTTGTTTGTTGTAGTCCAGCAGCTAGTTGTTGTGCTCCGACATGTCCGATCTTATTACGTGTAAGATTTAGTGTGGTGAATGTCTAAATGAAAAGAAGTGTAGATAAAGACATAGTATTGATGAGGAGAAGAAACTGTATATGTCGTTTTTTTCTCGTGCTATATCAGTGAAAATAAGATTATTGTGACTTCGCTAAAAGGCATGTGAATGTTATTATGATTGTATCTATGATCTTATATGCTGTACAGAATTCAATAATTTCGTATGGATATCTAGACTGAGAATAAGTTACTAACGATGACGCTTGTATAGCATCTTTTAATTTATCGGTTGCTGTTATTGTTAAATATTCATAGAAAAAGGAGAAGTTTCTGATTGATGAATAATAGTTTGTAAATTGCTTCTGTACAGAACAATTGTAAAGGACAATGTGCTGTAGAAAATGATTTAAAGGGTAATAGAGTATAGTGTATCAATTATTAGTATTCTATAAATTGAACAAAAATATAGTTTGTTAACTGTAGTTTGTGGACGAGATTTCTTTAGATCCATCGACGGGGATCGATCAATTTTGCATCAGAAGACTAAGTTATGTAATTGAGATAAGTTCATACGTATGATATGTACCAGTGAGAATATTTATTGATTTGAATAATTACTTTGATGATTGCATATAAATGTGTTTATGAAACAAGATTGGTGTATAAAAACTGAAGAGTGAAACGATTTATTTAATAACGTTAGATTTATTATGAATAGAAGGCAAGCAAATACTATAACATCCTTTGAAAAATATTCGTCACGAATTGTTCTCAACTGTTCATTCTTGTAATGAGTTATTCTCAAAGCTTGGTCTTTGAAAAAATATTCTTTATATGAAATGTATTTCGGAGCAATTTTTTATGAAATAAATGTGTTGAAGAAGCAGTATTTCCTAGAGAAATATTTTATTCACCTAGACTCACACTTAACAACACTCTCCGCGGAGTATTTGCCTTATTTTTATTATTGAAATACTGTAAGAAAAGTGTTTAGATGTAGATAAAAAACAAATTAGTGTTTTTTCTCTTTTGCTTCGCTCTTATCTAAACGTTGTTTGTTCAATGACATCATACATGCTGTTAAATATGCAGCGTTTATATGAGATTGAAAAAAAAGGAACTATTGTTCTTGATTATCAGGACATTTTTTTCATATTATCATAATAGAGAAAATGAGTTTATTTAAGGGATTATCAAGTAATAAAGTAGTTTGAGTGGTAAATACTTTATTGACGCATATTTATTGAAATTATTCTATTTAAATATAGGTTGTGGAAATGAAAAATAATTTAAGATTCTATAGATAAAAATTCAGTTTTCATGATAGAAAAAACATTTACCTGATATCGATAATAAGTATCTATGATACTATTTAACCGTTGACATACGTTTCGCATTGAACATATAATTGTGTAGTCCGATTGCTGATCCAGAATTCGGTAGACAAGTTCTACCGGTAATGTAAGAAAGGTGGCGATACTTTGATGTGACATTGAAGATTGATATTGAAATTTGTGTTGTGTAGCCTTATATGTTGGTAGTATAATATATAGTTGTTTTTCTTATCATTAAATGGTCGATATTTGTTTTATATCATAGATATCATATGATGTTGCAATCACTTGTTGAAAGAAAAGAAAACGAAAACGAATGATGCTAACTACAAAATGAGAGAATCGATGTCACGGAGTGATCATAGTTCACTCTCGTGATCCTTTTCCATTTCGTCTTTTCTTGTCATTGCATTATCCTGTTACGTCATATTCTAGTGACATCTTCTCATCCATTACATCATCTTCTTTTCTATCTATCCTGGATGATTTCATTATCTTCTTGTTTCATCATCTTGTTCGCTAGCTCCCCTGAATTATTCCATCACATCCTCTTCTCCTCTTATTGATATGTCCTTCACAATCAACATAAAAACTGAAAACAACGTTTTTACTAAGATAGTTTTAGTGATATAGAATTATACAAGTAAATCACATCTATGGACTAGCATAGCTCTTTCTCGTAGAAGAAAAGGGCTATTGAATGATCTAAATCAACATTGAATGCGGATTCCTCACTCTCGATTAACTTGGGTGAAGTTTTATGAAAAAATTTTCGTTTAGTTTTCATATCATTCTTTAACCAATTAATGAAGAAGTGTTTTTCTGCAATAGCTATCGTTTAAAATGCAAGTAATACTCATTTCATGCTGACTATTAGGATTTTCTTGTGTCTATTTATCAAGAAAGTCCTCGATTTCCATAAGAAAATACACAGGCAGATCTACTTTTTTAAGACCAGATTGAATCTCTGATGTATATTTATTTTAGAAAGATTTCAATCAAATATGTCAGTTACATTCTGCTAGAATTAAGAGCAGCGACAATAGCTTCTGTTGGGTGACTTAATGATAAATGTCAAAGATTCCATTGTAATTGTTTATAAAAACAGCTTTTAATTTTATACTGTTCCTTGTTCGGAAAAAAACTAAAAGAGGACCCAATTTAGTATGTTCACTTTCAGATAGAAGGGTATGGGTGTGGGTGGGTATTATTTTTATGTCACATCCGTACCCACACCCAGATCCATCCTCAAAGAAAGTGCAGAAACATAAAAAAAAGATGACAGTATATGCTACAGGGTTTTTCTATATCATGGTAGAATTTTCGAGATTTTTTTATATGTCGACATTTTATCTATCGACATTACTTGTCGACATTTTGTTTTCGACGTTTGACCACTAAATCGAAAATATGCACGTAATTAATATTTACGTAACATTGTAAAAAGTATAATTTAATAATAGTCTTCTATGACATACATTAATCAAAGCAACATACTTGTGTTTTATGCGTAATGAATTTTTAGTGAAATATTTCTGTTAATCTGTCGAAAAAATCGTCGTAAACATCTGATTGATAGAAAAAACATTTCATCAATTTTTAATTTATTCTTTTTTTTCCTCGTTCTGATTCTTATTTCCCTTCATTACATCGCACTTCTGCACGACATTATTATTATTTGACGAAAGGAAGCTCAATGAGCACTATACTATATGTGTATGAGTTGTATATAGAAAAAGAAAGAAAATGAGTTTGTTTATATTATTGAAATAGAGCTTGTCATGAAAGAAAATGAAAATTTTTTCCGATTGACATAAATAAGGTAACTATGTCGGAACTGATTTGACGACAAACAGATTGATTAAGTTTTTTTGTGTGTCATAATCATGGCCAGCTTACTTCGACAAGGGTAACAGAAAAAATATTTTTTTTCTTCTTCAGAAATGCTTATTTTATTAATTTTAGAAATCGTAATGAACCTCCTGTATCTGCAGCTAGTCAACGTACACTACCAATACCAACTGAGTATAGTCGTTCAAAAAAATCAGATAAACCAGCATCTAATACATGGGAAGCAGGACAAGTATGGATTCAAAATATTGCAAAAGAAGATTCAGCAAGAAAACAATGGGAAAAAATGCATGGATGGATGGCTGATTATGATGCTAAAGTATTACTTTTATTCATCAATGAAATAAAAAAGAATATGTTTAAATAACGTTTTAGGCCAATATTAAACCAAGAAAACGTATAGCAGAAAATGTTACACGTTTTTCTAATACGGTTTGAGAAGTTTATATTTATTTATTTTGTTTTTTTTTGTAATTTATCGTATTAGGTTCCTAATTCTCGTGGTCATGATTATGGTTGGCGTTTAGAAAGTGATTTAGGACAAGAAATAAATAATTTACAAGGACGTCTTAATATGCAATATAAAAAACAACGATCAAAAGAAATACTTGGTTATGATTGAAACAAAAACAAAACAATGGAACATTTTTATTTATTTCATAAATGTATCGAATCACAATTTTATTCCGTATCTCAATTTAGCTGATCGTGATTTAGGATTTTCATCAAGTTCATTATCATCAGCTTGTATAATATGTTTTGTTTGTATATTGTAACGTATTTGTTTTTCAGCTTGATTACGTAATGATGTTTCATCAAGATTTGAAGAGAATTCATCAGGATGTAAAACTATACCTTGAAAATGTCGTTTCATTATACGATCTTCTAATGAATGAAAACTAATACATAATAATGTACCACCTGGCTTGAGTAATCTAAAAGTATTGAGATTATAAAAAAATCTTTCTTAGCAATTGTTATTAAGCGACAAATTTTAATTGACGTCATCAATACAGATTTATTCTTCGAGACGTATAGGAATAGTTACCATTCAGTACTCTCTCATTAGAAGAATGAGATAAATGTGTAAACATGTATCAAAATATGATCGGCTGCATAACAACTACAGAATAAAAAGTTTAATACTATGGTCGACATACTGATATTTGATTTTCTTTGTTGAGCTCGATAAAAAGACAAATAAATGATAGATTTCACTTACGTATAAGCTTGTTCAAGTCCATTATAAAGTTCATTAAGTTCATCATTAACAACAATTCTTAATGCTTGAAATGTTTTTGTTGCTGGATGAATTGGACGATTCAGTTTATCAACATCTGATGCACTAATAAGATAATTTTCGGTTAAAATAAAATATTTCAATCTATATTTTTTTTTACTTTCCACCAAGACCAACTTTAATAACATTCGCTAATTGTGTTGTTGTTAAAATTGGTCCAAATGTACTACGCCATTGATAAATACATCGAGCAATTTTTCGATGCCGTTTATCTTCACCATATAAACGTATAATTCGACTTAATGCTGTTTCATCTAGTTTATTAACAAGATCATATGCAGTGACTGATTTTGATTTCAAATTCATTCTCATATCTAATGGACCATCATGCCGAAAACTAAAACCACGTTGAGGATCATTCAATTGCATTGAACTAAATAAAAATCTTCATAATTTTCTTACTAGATTTTCTTCTTGTTTGTTTTACCTTGTACCAGCATCTAATAGAATTCCATCAAAATAATTTTCTTTATCTTTAAATATAGTTTTTAATTGACTAAATTGACCATGAAAAGGAAATAATCGTTTTCTATATAATAAAAAAAAATCTTATTTTCTAATATCAGAAAATATCTTCTCATACGGATATTCTTTAGCTAAATTATGAGCTAATTCAATTGCATTTTGATCACGATCAAGAGCATAAATAGTAGATTTTTCATTTTGATTTAAAAGCCCTTTTGTATGTCCGCCAGCACCGAATGTTAAGTCCAAAAAAATCTAATATTTATTTATTAATAAATTAGTTTTTTTTTTCATTCAGGAGACATACTTGTCTTTCATTACGGTAGAAAATCTTCAAAACATGTTCAAGTAAAACAGGTATATGAAGAGATGTCTTAGTCATTATTGATGTTTTTCAAGTATGTCATATAGAAGCATTAAAAAAACGTTAAGTAAACTTTGTAAGTTAGTTTTTTTTTCTTTTTTTAGTCGCCGTTAAAAGAAAGAAAAATCTTTTTTTTTTAAAGAAACGGTTGTGTTTTTAATTTTTATGTAGTATACAAACGAATTTTATTCGATTAGATAAGTAAGTAAGAAATTTTTTTTTCTCGTTTTATTGGATGAACATCTTTGTCTATATATCTAGAATGAATCAAAATAATAAAGAAATAATTCATAAAAAACAAGTCAAACCCTCGAATTCCAATGATATAGATATTGACGTCATATCATCAGATAATACACAACGAAAAAATCATGAAATTGAAGAACTACCATCAATTTTAACACTAAATACTGAAAGTATTGATGATGTTAAAAATAGAATGTAAGAAAAGAGAAAGGTGAAAAAAACTTAAGGTGTTATTTTTTCTTGTAATAGACCAATTGACAGTTCATCATCGGTTAAAACTGATGATCATGTACAAAAACCTGTTTCAAAAGCAGTGTACGATTATGCTACGATGTTTCATCAGACAATGGAAGAATCTCGTCAAAATAGATTGAATGAAGATGTAACTGCTATACTTGGTTCAAGTGATCCACCACCAGGATTTGGTGTTTTACATCCTCCAGTTCGTTATCTCAAACAAAAATGTCCTTTTCCATTAGATCCACTTCCAGTTAGTATTGAAAAAATTCAATTTCATAAACGAAAATCCATTGATTTTTTCAATAGAATCAAAAACGGATTGAACTCTTACTTTTTTTCTAGGTTTGGCGAGGTTATAATGGTAATGTATATTTTTCTCCAATTCAAGTACAACAACTTGACAGTGATCGTCCTAGATCACTTTCAAAATCTCTAAGATCTGCTTCCACGAATAGTATTCCATCGACAAGGAAAACAGATGATGGTCTATCAAATGGAATATTATCGACATATAAAACTCGAAAATCTTTTAAAGAACGAATTGATAACGATCGAAGAGCACATTTACAAACAGTTACAAATTCAAAAATGATAACACTTAATAATGAATTTAAAAATCGTACATCTACTATCAACAGAGATAATGGACAGAAATCAATACTCAAACATAATCAACATACTACTGAAGATTCAATAAAACATAAACGACAAGTATTACCAAATATTCGATCAATACCAAAACCAAAATTTATTCATAAAGGTTTAGCATATAAAGAAAGTGAAAGATTTTCACATTTTCCTAATGAGAATGATAACGATGCATTACAACAACCATTTAATCATACCCAAGCTTATGCTCAATATGGAATCAATTCTACACGTACAAAACAACTACCGTTTATTTCACACGCAGCTTCTCTTACTAAAGATCAACAAATATCCGACGTACGTGAAACAAGAAAACGTATTATTAAAGGTACAACTACTTCTTATCATATACCAACACAATCAATGCCATTGGCACCTGTTCCAAATGATCAAACTTCTGATCTATTCTTATCCGCACAAAAAACTATAAATCCATTCAATCATATATCAGGATCATTTACGTCTTCATCATATCAACAGAAACATGCTGCTATCTATACTACACCAAATATTTCACAATATTTTGAAAATTTTTCAACAAATAATAATCTAAATATCTCATAATTATAGGATATATACTTCTCGAGTCAAAATAAATAATATGTAGAAATTTAAGAAAAACTTTCATTCCATAAAATTGAAACTTTTAGAATAAATTAAGTAAATATAAATATAAGATCAAACAACAATTATGAATGAATAAAAAAAAATATTGAAACATTAGATGTGCTGTTAGTTTTGTCGTGAGAATATTTATAGACAAACAATCTCATTTATTTTTTTGAAAAATAACAAATAAACGAGATTAATTTCTGTAGTTATGAAGAAAATCAAATCAACTTAAAAGAATTTACGAATTATTTTTCAATATTAGTGTATTGGATTATTTTTCATTTACGTAAGAAAAAAAAACAATATATATATAAGAATAAAAAAAAGTCGTATTTTGTAAAAAGATTATTAAGGATTTTTTTTATTTGATGTGTATTCAAATGCATGGATGGATGATGTGTAGAAAAAAAAGCTAACAGCAACAACAATAAACACACATACAAGAACAATTGCACACAAAATTAGTGTTTTGTAATTTGTGACATATATAGACAAGAAGAACAAACATTGGAACTCGATTGGATTTTTTTCGATAAAAAAATCCAACAAAAAAAAAACGATCCATAATAATTAGAGATAAACACATGTTCGTTTTATCTTTTGGTCAATATTTCGATACTAGTAAACTGTTCGAGGACAAGTATAGAAATGTGCAAAAGATAAACGAAATAGACGAATTTGCGTAGTAACAAAAAGTATCAAGAGAAGGCAAGAGTGTTATTTAATTGAATTAATAGAGAGGAGAAGAAGAAGAAGAAGGAAAGAAAATAGTATTCACTGTTGATATCAAAGTATAAACAGGATGGAATCAAATGTTAGATAGACATATGAAAAAGAAGACAAATGACAAACAAAAAAAAGATATAGATATGTGTACGGAAGTAAATGAGAGTAGTGTAGCAGAAGAAAAAAAGAACTCGTTCATAAGGCGTGTCGATTGTCTATCAGTTTTGTTAAGTAAACATATCTGATAGGTTCGGAAGGGTCAGGTGTCATTGAAAATAGATCACGTCTAAATAGAAAAACAAATTTATTAGATATATATATAGTAGATATGTCTTTGAATTACGTCTTCATTATTAGTTATAAAAATAAAATGTCATGTATAATGAAGACCTTACGCCTACGATGTGAAGGATATTGACGAGTTAATAAGCATATTTAGTCTTTCGACTATCATGATATTTATATACACAGTTGATAGATAAATGTATGTTATCATATTTATAAGAATAGTAGCTTCATCTACATTACAGTCTGATGTAGGTTCAAAAGGGGGAATATCGCAGTAACTGAAATTATTATTTTTCTAATTAAAATGTCAAATAGAAGCACTTTCTACTGAAAAATCCTGGTATTGTTTTATCAAATGAAGATTTGACTATCCTACGACTTGGTAAAAATATTTTCTACAATATATAAATAAAGCATTAGTCTACTCGAATAAATAGATTAGAAAAATACAATAATTAAAGAAGACTATGATAGATCGATTTGAATAATATCTTTACTTATATAAGATATATGATATTAGTAGTTCAATATCGATTTTCATAGGAGTTCTAAATATAATAGAACTGAAAATAAATAACTATGTTTTCGTGTATTTCAAATGAAATTTCTAAATATATTTTATTCTCATAATAATTTCTAAATATAATTTACTTCTCTGTAGCTTGGTTCAGCTTGTATCATAAATTCATCAAAACGCATATAAAGTGTTTCAAATGTTGGTCGATTATCAGGATTTTCGTGCCAACAAGAAAACATGATTTGATAATAATGATCAAGACACTCATTTGGCTAAAAAAAAGAAAACGATTGTGTTTGTTTTTTTTACTTACAAATAAATCATTTTACTTTCGGCATTCGATAACCATTAAGTACTGATTGTAGTGCTTCATTATTCGACATTCCAGGATATGGATTTGAACCATGTGTTATTAATTCATAAAGTAAAATACCAAAACTCCATACATCTGATTTTGTTGTATATTCTTTTTTAGTTGCAGCTTCTGGTGCTGTCCATTTAATTGGAAATTGAGATTCACGATCAACCTGTAAACGACCACCTTGAAGAATTCTAGCTAAACCAAAATCAGCTATTTTCACAACATCTAATTCTCCAACAAGAATATTTCGAGCAGCTAAATCACAATGCACATATCGTTTTTGTTCAAGATAAGCCATACCTTTTGCAATCTAAATAAAATCTTCTTTTTAGATGAAAACATTTTTTTCCGAATTATTTACTTGTGCAGCAAAATCTAGTACAGTTTTAAATTTCATATTTTTTCCTGCTCCATCACGTAAATAATTTAATAAACAACCATTTGACATAAATTCCGTTACAATAAATATAGGTTCTTCATTTGTACATACACCATATAAACGTACAATATTTTTATGTTGTAGATCTCTCATAATTTTAGCTTCATCAAGAAATTTATCGACATTACATACACGACTTTTATTATCAGTTTTCATACATTTAATAGCTACATCACGTTGACCATATTTGCCTTTAAAAACTTCACCATAATTTCCTCTACCAAGTAATTCCGTACGTGATAATTGTGAACGATCTAATTCTAATAAACCATGTCGATCAATTGGAACAGTTGGTTCAATTTTACGACAAGCACGTGTTAATAAACAACAAAGACCATCAACATTTGCTTTATTAGAAAAATAAAATTTCGTATAGATTATAAATTTCTTTTATATATATATATATATTTACCTCGATAATGATCAACAAGGTGTTGTAATGTTGGAAATGTATTTCTACTACTTATATAATAATATCCTTCATCAGTTCGACGTATACGATAATGTTTAACATGAAAATGTTTATCTTTACTTAAATCAAGAACAGATAATGACTCTTGACCTTCAGAAGAAAGAAAAAAAAGAAAAAAATAATATTTAAATCATTATGAGGAATATATAGTACAAATACTATACCTTGATTTGTATCCGAAGGTCGAATTAAAAAAGTTCCTTTTCCATTATGTGGTTGTTCGAGAAATCGTTCAGCATCACGACGATTTGTTTCAGTAAAATACCATCTAGATTAAACATGTACATATATACATTCTTTTCAACTATTTATAACATACTCGTATGCAGTTAAATCATTTATTGCTGATATATAATTTGCTGGTACATAACCAAGTTGTTTTGTTCGTAAATTTTTTGCTTGCCACCAATCATTATAACTATAAAAGAAAATCTTTTATATGTATTTGAAAGAAAGAAAAAGAATACTTACGTATATCTATCAAGTATTTCTAATCTATCACCTTTACGAAAACTTAATTCACCAGTTGTTGACGTACCGTTAAAATCATAATTAGCCACATAGATTAATTTATCTTGAAAGAAGAAGAAGAAAAATTAATAATAAAAAGAAAAATCAATGTATTTACTTGGGTTTTGTCTATTATAATTATTAGTCGGTTGATTGTCTCTTGAACCATTTGACGGCAGAGGGTAACCAACTGAAGGTGGTGGATTTTGTCTTCGATTCATACTACCATCTTGTGGTAGTTGACGTCTTGGATCATTAATACGATAGTCAGGATCTTGATAAACTTTTTCACGTTGTTTTCGACGCGAACCATTTCGATTTCCCATGAAGGAATAATAATATTCTATTTAGGACAGTAGATACAAATGATTGTATGTCATAGATATTCGTTTGAATAATCTGGAAAGCAAATAGACGAACAAATTAATTGACAATGTCAGTTGTTACTCTCTCATACGGTGTGTATGTTCAACAATTAAACGATCGGATGATTTTAACCAATAAAATATAAATGTCAACCTTAAGATTATATTTTCATTTTAATATTTCTCAATAGATAAAAAAAAGAAGAATGTAATTTAACTAGGATCTTTTTTTTTATTATTTTTATATAATAAATCAAACATCAAAACTAATCAATCTTACAAATAGTGACATCTATTGTTGTTCTCATATATGTATGTATGTTTTAATCATTCCAACGATGACCACATTGTACACATTTATAAAATGTTGTCATAGGTTCATCAGCTGAACGCGTTTGTAATTGCATAAAATATGCTTTTGTATAAGCACATTTTGGACATGTTACTTCTGTTTTATCAACATTTTCCCATGCTGCTGTACCACCAAGAACATCATCAACTGGTTTTAAACGTGTATATTGTCGTTCAGTTATTTTAGTTACAAGATCACATATATATGGACATGTGTTACATGCTAATCGATTGCATCGATCACCTTCTTCTACAAATAGCATATTACCACAACGAGGACCTGAAAAAGAAATAGAAAACTCATACATATATTTATATATATATATATATATACTTATGCTTCTTACAATATATCTGTTTATAGTAATGATGAGGATTCTGTAATATTACTACTTGATTCTTGAGTCTTGATTACGAAGGAATAACATCTAAGACTTTTCATATTCTACTCTTCGCTTAATCAATATTCTGCTTAACAGATAAACATCGACTAGAATATCTCTGAGTAAACACAAAAATAGGAAAAAAACACAGCATGTCAGAATGAATACTTGTTGAAAACCTAACAAAAAAAATAATTTTATAAAATTTTCCTGTAATGATTAAGAGTGCATTTTTGTTTTTATCATATATAAAGGTAAATAACTGATTTGGCGTGAAAATTGACGAACACATTCTACTTACGCAATAGTATGAGTAATTATTATACGAATCTATTTTCTATCGTATCATTAGTGACTTTGTCCCTGTTCTTTTTTTTTATAGTCTCAATTCACATGATCATGACCATCTTCAATTCTCTAAATATTTGTTCTTGTTCAATAAGAATAATTACTAACTATCTTATCTATATATTAGCATATTATATTTATTTGTATGTAAAATATATTAGTATGAATTATAACTGAACTTACAAAAGAACATTTTCTTATAGATCAATCTAACAAAAAGACAAAACAAATAATAATAATCTGAAAGAAAAACAAAACAAAAAATAACAATCTGGAATACTTATAAAATCAAATAAAATTTCATTTCAATTATTCAATAATGTATGCATACAAATAAACATCAATATCTTGTCCATTTTTATGGACTCGTTTACGTAAAAGACCTTCATAAGCAAAATGACATTTTTCTACAACTCGTCTTGATCCATTATTCCAAGTAAATATTTGTGCTTCAATACGAACTAAATTTTTCCATTGAATTTGACCTATTTCAATGACTTTTCCTATTACTTTAGACATAAAAACACGACCCCAATATGGTTCACCTAACCAATAACCAATTTCTGCTATCCTATCATTTTTAATCAAACTTTGAAGACCACATCCACCTATCATTTCATCCGTTTCATTTAAACGAATATTAAAAAATAGGGTCGGTTCTAAATTCGATTTTATTGCACTAAGAAAGTTTTCTCCATCTTTTATTGTATATGGTTGAGGTATATGCGATGTATTGGCGTATATTGTAGGATTATTTAAATATTTAACTAATGAAGGAATATCATTCTCGGTTAATAAATTGTCAATATATATTTCATTACTAATTTCATATCGATTTGAAGTCATTTTATAATCTAGAACATGCAAAAAGAAGAAAAAATCTTGTTGTTTTTTTTTATTTTATTTTTACTTGATTAAATAAAACTAACAAATGCTAGATTATATATATATATGGAAGAACAAAAAAAAAAGAATGATGAAATATCAAGCAAGTACTTTTTTACGTATTTCTTCAGCTTTTTTATCATCAGTAAGACGTGATAAAATTTTTAAACCAAATTCTATTGCTGTTGCTGGTCCTTGACTAGTGATGACATGATGATTATTCACTATACTTTCAACAACACGTTCATTTAAATTTATTGATTTAAATTTATTTTTAAGTGAATTAGCAACATCAGGATAACATGTTATATCATGTTTACGTATATTTTTATCTGCATCATATAAATGTGTACTTAAAGCCAATGGACCAGCACAAATAGCTGCAACTATTTTATTTGTTTTATAATGATCAAGGAGAATAGCACCTGCTTGTTTACATGATGCAATTGTTTCTGTACCTTTATTACCTAAAAATAAAAATATAGGATTTTTCTTTCTTTCTTTTCATAAAGAATGATATTTACCACCAGGTATAATAATTGCATCAAATTGTTGTCCTTGAACATCGTCTATATGTAAATCAGGCAATATTTGAATATTGTTAGCACATATTAATGGTTTCTTATCGTTTTTTTCGACACTACATAATTTAACATCAATACCACCTCGTCGTAATATATCGACAGTAGCTACAACTTCAGTATCTTCTGAACCATTAGCCACAAATACTAATGCCGCCGCCGCTTTCGAACCACTCCTAATAGAAATACATGGATATATACATAAATAAGAATCATGTAACTAAATCTTTTTTTATCCAGCTGTTTTTCTTTTTTTAGTTTTTAATACATAAGATTATTCTTTTTTGCACCACAAAAGATACATAGACACACACATAAGCAGAAGAAAGGAAACCGAAAGAAAAAAGAAAACAGAGAGTACAAATTATCCTAGAGAAAAAACATATATATGTTGTCAATGTTTGAGATCATGCATACGCATAAATATAATTATTTATTGAATTCTTTTTTTCTGCTTTTTTTTTTATTTCATATTAACTGTAGGAAGTGTTCGTCGTTTAGTTGCTGTTGGTCTTATATTAGTTGATGATGCCATTGGAGGATGAATAGTAGAAGATGGAATGAGACCACTTGTTGGTGGATACATAGGACGAGATGATACAACTGATTGTTGTTGTCGTACAGCAGTTTTAGGCATTTTAACCATTTGATTCATTTTTGTTTGTTGTGATAAGGCAGTTGCATTACGATGATACTGTTGCTGTTGCTGTTGTAGTTGTTGTTGTAATTGTTGTTGTTGATGTGCAGGCATAGGTGTTTTATTGTGCTGTACCGATCGAATATTATTCATTAGATTCATTTGCGGTGATATAATAACATTAGATTTTCTTGCTGCATTTGTTGCTGATGATATAGGTTGTTGGGAAAGTTTTGTAGCAAAATTTTGTGCTTGTGGTAAAGATGTTTTCGTTTTAGATTTTTGATGATTATGATGAATATTGTTATTATTATTAATATTATTAGATGTCATTGTAGGTGGTATAGAACGATTATTATTAGTCATTATTTTAGAAGGTGTTGTTGTTGATGATGTTAACGATGATGATGATGCTGAAGATGGTATTGAACGCGATGCATTCTTTTGTTGTTGTTTGATAAGTGTTTGAAATGTTTTTTCAATTTCTTTTTCTTGTTCCATTGCTGAAACAAAAACATTTTTTAATAATGTTGAATGTTCTGTTTTTGATGTTCGTCGTGTAACTTGTTTTTTACAACGATCACATAAGATGTTAATTTGTTGATTATTATTTAAATGTTTCCACCAACGTATTGTAAAATCTGTACCACAATGTTCACATATATGTGGTTCTTCAATTTGTGCACGATCAGTAAAACGTTGTGGTAAACGTTGACGATCGGTTTGTAATTCATATAAACATTGTACAACATCTTCAAGACCAATATATGGTTGAAATTCTAGACTAGTTGGATTTGGTATAAATAAAATATCTTGTATTAAAGGTTTTGGTGATGGAATATTTAATAGATCACGTTCAAGTTGAGTACGTAACGCTTTTTTCGCTTGTGTTTTACGTTCTTCAAGTGAATGAAGAGTTGGCGATGGTTTGGATGGTATTGGCGTAGGAATTTTAGTTAGTAATGGAGGATTTATTGAATTTAATGATGGTTTACGTGTTGCTGATGGTAGTGATTGTTGAAGAGACGAACGTGATAATGATGTTGAAGAAGAATTTATTGTTGGAGGTATAGGTGTTGTTGGTTTATTAGTTGGAATACGTGTTGCTGTTGGATGAAAACCATTTGTTGTTGTTGTTGGAGTAGTATTTGATCGTACTGCTAATTGTTGACAAGCACGTAATTTTTTTAGTAGAACTAAATTAGCTTCTTCATTTCGTAGTTCTTGTACAATAGAATGAAGTTTTAAACGTTTTAATGAACGTACAGTATTGTCATTGGTTAAATTATTATTTGATTCTGGTGATAAGGGCCGTTTGTTCGACATGATATTTTATCTGAAATTCTTTTGTTTATTTGAATTTTATTTTTTTTTTAGTATTTTCAGTTTATTAATATAATAAAACTTTTTATTTTTTTTATTATTAATAAAATATGAAATAATTCAATAATACATACCATAAATTAATTGAACGTATAGAAAATAGATTAATTGATTGTTTTGTTAAAATTTGTCGTAGCATGATATATATCTAAAACATAAAAAAAGATGAGATATTGAAGAAAAAAAAAAATATAAACGAATAGATTTCTTTTTTTTTCTTCTTTTTTCTAAAGATAATATCGCCACCGCGTGATTGTACCTGTATTGTGAGCGTGTGTGCAGTACAGCAACAGTAAGAGAGCAAGCAAGAAGGGTAAAACTCAACGGGGCGGCTACCAGCCAACTAACGTGGTAAGCAACCCTTCATCTCTTTCTATCATCCCTCAATACGGAATTTCGTTCTTTCTTTCCTCTCTCTCTCTCTCCGTCTCTTTCCATCGTCATTGCCGTCGTCGTCTCGGTCAAACCTAAGTTTCTTATTTACTGACGACCGAAGGTATTTGGCTCCATAATAGAATGTACAGGATAATAAAAGAAAAAAAAAGGATATGATAATCATCTCATCAATAATTCGCTTTGAACTTCGTGAAAAATTTGAATATCTCAACAATATATATATGTATGTATGTATATATATATAAATATACCTTAAAGCGTGAAAAAAAAGAAGGTAGTTTTTGCGATGATGGCAATAAAGAAGCCAACATTCACATACACCTACGCATAGAGGCAAACACAGAAAAAGATCGACGTAGACAGAAGTCTAAAGAAAGAATAGTCGAGTAAAGAAACAGAATACGATGACGAATGTAGGGGACTCATTGAGTATGCGAGCGACACCGTGTAGAGAAATGTGACGATTTGTTTCCTCAAGCGTGCAAAAGAAAGAAAAGGGAGAAGAAAGCATACAGATTGAATATAGACTATGAACATTAGTTGTACATATGTACATAAATATATGTATGTTATTACAAGAAAAAAGAAAGAGAAAAACAATTTTCAATAAAGATTTGCATGCATTAACTAATTAGACTAGAGGTTTTTGAACTTATTTTAACGAGGATATACACATGCATTCGATAATCTTCTTACTCTTTATCTTCTTAGCATAAAAAGTCTTTAAGACATTTGATTACAAAAAAGAATAAGTTCATCAAATATCTTCTTCATAGATAACAACAATGAATGGGCTATCTAATGACGATACTTTTTCTTGATGGGTATGAAAGAGAAGTACGATCGTGTGCACTCTGAATTGGCTGGCTCGTTTACTTGCTTATACTCTCGCAAGATGGAAAATGGATGGTGATGGGAGGGGGAAAGAACGCGAAAGAGAACATGCCGTGTCGAACGCCGATACAAACGACGCCTGTTTCAACAAAACGATTGACCTCTTACTGTCGACAAGAAAAGAAAAGAAGAAAGGAGAAAAGCGAATATAATCATAGTTACTAGTCTGCTAAAAATCTTTAAATCTCGAATAATTTATCATTAATTATTCGTTTTATCAGATATGTAATCATTGATTAATATTCTAGAATTATTCGAATGAATAAACTAAAGATTGAAGAAATAAATACAAAATAAATAAATAAACAAAATCGCAAAAAATTCAATTGTGAATCGTTTCTTTCTTTTTTTTTCGATTCAGTTCTTCCTTTGAAAAAAAAAGGCTACCAAGAGATAAATAACAACTTATCCGAAAAAACAAATGTTAAATCCTTCGAACAGAGGGCGGAAGAACGAAGAAAGAAAAAGAAAAAAATGACGATTGGAAGATCATTGATCCAGTTGTCTACGTAATAGACCAGTGGCGGCGCCGTAAAATTGTAGAAAAAAATAATACATAAACAATTGTATCTTCATTTTATAAACAATATGTCTGAACCACCAATTCCAAGTGCTCGTCGAGCACTTTTATTTGCAAAATATCGACCACTTTTAACAACACCATTCTTCTTTGGATTTTCAACACATGTTCTTTCTCCAAATTTATTTACCAGGTTTAAAAAATTTATCTCTATATATTCATTTTCTTTTTTTTCTTAATAGATTACTTGGTCCTCGAATCGATTTACCGATAAGTAATATACTTCTATTTGGATCTCATGTTGGTGTTACTTCGTATTTATATACGTCAAAGCATTTAAGAAAGGCTGATAAATTTGAACGTTTATTATACAGGTAGAATAATTAAATTTATCGAAAATTTTTTTTTGAATGTTTTCTTTTAGTGTATATGGTTCAGCAATGTTTAATTTTGGTACAGTTTTAGTTATGTCGCTTGTTCGATCAATATTTCCTGATAATGAAACACTTCGTTTAGGAATTGGTTTATCAACTGGCGCTGCTTTATTATTCATTGGTAGAAAATATGTGAATTATATTGATCAAGTTTTTGAAACAGTTCGATTTCGTGCAATACCACGATCTTAAAAACGATACAAAACTATTATCCAATGCATGATATATATTTTTATTCAAGTTATCTCGGTGTTTTTCAATGTCGTATTCATTTTAATAGATGTTAGCATGAAATATTAGAATTATTTGCTTTTTTATTATTATCTAAATTTGTGAAATAGTCAAAAAAGTCATTTTTTTATACTTTAATTAAATATCATTTTATATACGCAATTCTATTGTTTTTAATCAAAGAAGATTTATGATAGAAATATCAATTGATTGAAGAGTTTGACTGATAATAGTTGGACTATCATCCATCCTGAATAAATTTGTTTATCGAAGATTATTTGATAAATATCGTTCACACATAAGAGAACGAGTTCCGTATGATCGTTTTAATGTAAATGTAGATCTTTCGATATTCTTTCTCGATGAACGTAAAATCAATAACAATGATTATCATGAAGATAATCGTTCGAAGAATAGTAATACTGATTGAGAAATATTAAATGTTGAACTAACGTGAAGAATTTTTATACTTCATAAAAATTTATACGATCTAATTTAAGACGTTCTTTACCTTGAGACATATTATCAATTAGAAATAATCGTCGTTGAATACTATTAGAACTAATAATCAACTATATATGACCTTCTATGACAGATTGTAAAAAAAAATATAGAATGACAAGTATACATATAGCCTTGTTTGTGAAAGATGTGTAGAATTGATTTACTTTGTAACTGAAGTTAGTTGACAAGTTATTTTTTTTTTGGGATGAGAGAAAAAAGAAAACTATGAACAACATGTTGTAGTTACATTTGAGAATTAGGCAATTAAAAAAAATATATTCAGAATAGGATTCATGAACGAAGTCAATTACTCGTATTATAAAATGAATAATTTATCTTTAAATTATTTGTATATTCTGAGTGATGTCTTTTTTTATGTCACTATAAGAATAGTTAAATACACCATTGATGCACTTTAATATGACAAAATATAATTATATCAATCTAAGACATTGCATATAAAAGGTATATAGATATATCTCCATTATCTTAAAAAATTATAATTAACAAGCTACGTTAGAAAAATCTATTAGTTTATATGTCCGAATGTAAGTCAAGAACTTCTTTTTACATCTATGTCGACATGTGGCGAAATCTATTCTACGGTTTTCTATTGCCAATCTGTATTTTACCTAATTTTGGATATCTGACGTCCTAATTTCTCTATGGCTTTTCGTCTATGTCAGCATCGAATATTAAACACAGCAGGTAACCTTTAGATTCATTAGAATTCAGTACAAAGTACATAGCAAAGTTTTATAGTAATCGTTTTTCTACAATTATCGTATGTCAAATTATTAGAAAATAAATTAAAAAAGTAAATAAAATGAGAAAACGACTCTATCTAACCAGTTCGAGTTCTTGTTTCAATATGTTTCTCTCGCACAAAATGTACTGTGTACATTCATTTTATTTTGGATGAACTCTATATCATGTTTGATAGCGATCCGATATATCACTCCTGTTTTTTATGTTTGCTGTTGGAGTTTGAGTTGCATATAAAGATAGATCTTCAATAGTTTGTAGTAACCAAAGTAAAATCCAAGAGAGATGACTGAAAAAAGAAGCGGTTGTCGAGGAAATAAATACTTGAGAGTTTACATAGGTACAATGTGAAAAGATTCTATTAAATCTGAGTCAATTAGAATAAGACGTGGGAAATTATAGGCGATCATTTTTTTATCTGAAATATTGTGTATATAAAAATCTACTACCTACAAGAATAGTCATTGATTACCCGAGGTTAAATTATCTTTCTCTGCTTATATTAGGAAACTGCAAAATCACTTTTTTTGGTCCCGATCCCGGTCTTGATAAGAGCTTAAGAATAATTCTGGTGTTGTCTTCATCTATGCAAAAAACCATATGAAGTTCACGAAAATTCTCGCTTTTTCGATTGTAAATTCAATCTATACGGTTTTTCTTGAACTATAAAATAACACATTTGTCAATTCTTAATTAAAGAGAAAAAAAGAAATAAGAAAATGGCTGATCTCATACTTGATAAAAACATTGAGGAATTAGCTGACAATTTTAGTCTTGGTCCCGCCGGGACCGAGACCACTTCGCAGTTTCCTAGCTTATATATATTTTGTTTCAGATGTCTGTACTAGAATTTAATAATTCCAATAACGTTCATTATTCGTGGTTACAACGTTTTGCTGGTAATATAATTCGGTATGGTTGTACAAGTCGATTGCAACATATAGCTATTGTTATGGATGGTAATCGTCGTTTTGCACGTGATCTTAAATTGGAACGTGCTCGTGGACATACATTAGGTGCTGATAAATTATTTGATGTTTGTCAATGGTGTCATGATTTAGGTATAAAAGAATTAAGTGTTTATGCATTTTCTCTTGAAAATTTAAAACGTTCTCAAGATGAAATTGATACATTAATGAATATCGCACGTTTAAAATTAAATGAAATTGTAAAATCATTAGATAAAATACATGAACAACAAATATGTATACGTGTTATTGGAAATTTAGATTTATTACCAGATGATATACAACAATCAAGTTATCGTTTAATGAAAGAAACAGATCATTATAAAAATTTTGTATTGAATGTTTGTCTTTATTATACATCAAGAAATGAAATAACAAGTATAATAAAAAATTTAGCTCAAGCATGTGAAAAAGATTTGATACGTATTGATGATATTGATGATGATTTAATAATCGAAAGTTTAATTGTATCAACAAGTCAAACAGGTCATTTACCTGATATATTTCTTCGTACATCCGGTGAATTACGTTTAAGTGATTTTATGTTATTACAGTGTCGATTTTCTATGTGGATATTTGCTGATGTTTATTGGCCGGCTTTTAGTGTTTGGCATTTATATTGGGTTATTTTACAATTTGAAATGAAATCTAAAACATTGACTGATATACAAAAGCAATGTAAAAATATTCTTCAACAAGATAAAACAACTGATGAAAAGAGAAATGAACGAATTCATACATATTTAAATTGGTTAGAACAACAAAGAATTGAACGTTTAAAATTGTAGTTTACATTTTGGATTTTTTTGTTATTGCAATAAACTGTGTTTTGTTTTTATTTATTTAATGATAACTTTTAACATCATTAATTTCCATGATCAGACATTTGTCAACAAAATAAAATATAACTTTAACGAAATATTTATTTATTTCTGATAAACTATTCGAGAACAATTCAATGATAGACATAAGTAATTGTTTGTAACCATTACTCGAATAGAAACTAATACTATTTGTGAAGTACAGTTCTGCTACAAGTCTTTGGATTAAAATAACATTCATAGTATCTGTGTACACAATGTTATTCGAAATCCTGATTCCGCTACTCCTCAGAGAACTTGTATTACTCTTAGTAACAGCAATTAATTAATGATATCTAATTTAGCCCGAAAAAAAACTTGTATAGTAGCGTTTTTCTCTCTAAAATAATTGTTTTTAAAGCAAAACGTCTTTCTTAGATATTAATCAAACTTTACAATATTTTCTTAAAAGTTAATAAATCGGCTTGAAACTTAAGTTTTCGAGTCCTGGTAAAATTTTTAATTACATTTATCAATATTCTTATGATAATAAGGAATGCATCAGCCACTTATTAATTCATCGTTGATTTTATTCCCGTTTAGTAAGTATCTATATAAAAATACACTATTTTCTTTTCTAATACTTCAATGAGATATCATATTTCTTCCTTCATGATCAATTCGACACGTTCGAATATTCAGTGTTGTAAGCGTGTCTACTAAATAATAATTTTAAATATCAGATTAATGAGTAAAGAAGATGTTTCACTCTATCAGTTCGATCTCGTGCTCCTGTGTTACCAATACTATTCGCTTGCAGATAGAATTTCACTTGTGCCTACATATAATAACCAAAGTAGATATCATATAACTTCATATGAATAAATTTGGTATCGATTTCAATTGGAACCTGTAAAATTTTCTTAGACGATAGAGTTCAATATTTAAAATCGTTCGTGAATTTTGATAATGTTTAACATTGAGAAAAACAGGATATCTTATTTATTGTTAATGGCTAGTATAAATATTTTATTGCTTTCTAACCGAATTGATTGTAATAAACATTGAGTGTTGTGAGTACTTACATGAATTAAAGGGATAAATATACATTAGACGGCTAGAGTATGTTTTTCACTATGTTCCTTTGGGAAACATCACTCACATATTATCAAGATTGTTATTCAAATTAAGATTTAATTTTGTAGACGTCTAATGCAATGATTACAATGTCTAATTATAACTGAATAGAAAAATAAAAACATTTTTTCTTAATACATTTATGATACATTGTGCCCCTGAACTACTAATTTTATTGATGCTAAGATCGAGTGTTGTAAGTGTTTATGATAAGAGATAATAATGGGTATATAATCGATCAATCTCAATGAATTATTTTGTAATACATCAGATAAATAATGTATTCTAAGTTTATGAATTCTATTTGTTCGAAGATACAATGTAAAATTACATTATTTGATATATACATTAAAAAACTTGTCTGACAAAATTCTTTCGTAATGCAATAGCTAGATTCTATGTTCCCTGATCATGAAGATCATTTCATGACAAATTCAATGTTATAAGTGTCTATATTGATTGATGGTAGTACAGTCATCATATATGATTATAGAGTTTGTCTTACATTTTACTCTATTGCATTACCCAAATACTGAATATTTTCGAAAAAAGAATATATTTATAGAGCAATAATAAATTTTTTTAATTTTCTTTGTTTTTAGTGCATTTTCTAAATGCCGTACTCCTTCATGAGTGCCTCCTACATGTAATAATTATAATATCGGATAACTTGTAAAAAAGAGCTTCTTGAACTGTGTACTCTTATAAAACATCAGCTAAATGATATGTTCTTTGACAGGTGATACAATGCTGAAGGACGTTTTCATGTTTAACAGATATAAGAATAAAATGTCGAGCAAAATCTGTATCTTACTGTATTATTTTTGCGAAGAACTAATGTTGTAAATATCTTTTGTAGAAAAATACCAAGACATTGTGCTATTTAATGACGCATTCTCTTGTTTTCGATATTCAGTTTAATCATTGTCTTTACAAGATTCAAGGTGACGAATTCCTTCTCATGATAGAAAATTTAACTTATTGAGTGAAAGTCTTTCGTATTTATTCCATATTTTAGTACTTCAATTAACTTTAAACAGACATGACCTTTCCGCCGTTTGTCATTGGATCAAATAGTAATGATATTTGAAGTTTGTATTAAAAATAACTCATGCATTTCAGTCAATTTATTGATGATAACTCGTTTTGATTTCTTTATACTGAAATCGTTGAATTTTTCTGTAAACTATAATACATTTCGAACATATAGACTAGCAATATCATTGATCGTATGCATCAGTATAAAGAAGAAAAAAATAATTTGAATTACATTCTATTTTTCATATAACCAATTATTCGAAACGAGTTAGACTACTATAACGAATATAACAATGAAATTTTTTAGGTTTGTATAAAATTACAATAGAGAAATTATGTTTTCGATCAATATTCTTCTACAACCTAGATTCGATGACAGTCATATATATCTTTTTTATCATATTTTTCAATTAAGAATTATTAAATACTTTAAAACTAGAGATAAGAACCTCTTATGACTATAAGTACAGTCAATTACAGTCTACGTGAACTGTCACACGCATCATTACTAAGCATAATTATTATTTTAGGACATTTTGTTTTCTTAACCAATATATCTAATAACAATAGTAACGATAAATATAATTATTTGTGCCTATATCACTATCTGTAGAGAAGATTTCTGAATAATTCTCTTCTGACAAGGATGTGATGCTTAGTAAGAAAAATTAATAATTCTAAGTGAATTAATCCTGAAAGCCTTATTTTAGAAAGTGCAAACGACGTTTTTTTTCTCTTATGTAACAAAAAACTAGATAATCTTAATTTTGGATCCATATAATTATTCATTAGAGTAATCATAGCATGTTATTATGTTTTCCTGTATAATATATCAAAACTATTGAAGAAAAATAAGGATTTTTTTTTTGTAAATCCTTCTATTACTAAAATATGTTATTTTATTCATACGTCAGATTGATTTGCATATGTTCGTTTTGATAAATGGAATTTCATATATGATCATATATCTCTTTATTTTTTTATTGCAATTTCATATTATATAAATGTGACAATGATGGTTTTCTTTTGATCAGATTTTCTTTTTTCAGTTTGACATGTAGTTATTCGTGCTTGATTTATATTCATACAGACATAGATTTGATCGTTAAAACTGATGAGCACAAGTGTAAGTACTCATTTTCTCTATTTCATGAGAGAGAGAAAAAAATGCAGATGGTAGCCAATTCAACAAGCGGAAGACTAAAGAGACTATGAGAGTAAAAAAAAAGAAAAGAAAGAAGAATGAAAGCAATTTGTATGCCTTTTTTTTTCTCTTCCTTTTTCTTTCCATTCGACAAGTTGTTATTGTAACAAAAGATGAGTTTTCTGTATTAGGTTCGATTTCTATCTAATAATTTTCTTCTGTTTTTATTTCATGATATAGTATACATTGAAGTAGTAGGTAGTGATAAGATTACTGATAGTCTATTAAATTGAAAACATAAAAAGTAAATCTGTAAGTTTGCTTTTCCCTAGATCTTCATCCATATATATATATATATAAGCATAGAATTGTTTTATTTCTAATTGCCTTTGGCTAAAAATAGTGTATATGTAAAAAAAATCCGTTTATCATTCGTGTGTAAAAAAAACGGCCAATTAGTTCAATATTCCATTTGTTTGCATTTTCTACCGTCACCAGATTATACTGCTTATTTTTATAATTTTTAATGTTATTTTGTAAGTATATGCCTTATTAATTGTGATTTTTTTAAGTTTAGATTATTGTATAATCTATTGAGCTATATTTATCCGTATTAACTTTAGAAAATACAGGATAAAGTTTTTTGTTAATTGTTTTATAGACGTACTCTAGTTTTATTCAACAGAAGTAAACGAGAGTTCTGATAGAAAAATAGAAATCAATGATCCGTTCAATCGTTACACTATAATGAAATGATATGACTATCCCATATCTAGCACATAAATCAGGCTGCAAATCTTCCGTTGCATCTCATTCATCTTATTCATGATTTTATATCTTAATTCTTATTAGTACATAGCAGATATTTACAGTTCATTTTGAACATTTGTTCAGCCATTTTAAGATATATTTATATAACAAATTCTTTTATAATCTAGAATAGTTTTATGTAGAAAATATATTATATTATATATATATGCGTGCGTTTTAACATCGCCTGTTCGTTCTCTTTATCATGTAGTAAGATCTCGTTTTACATATTTTGTTTTTTTTGTATGATAAGTAGTTAGATCTCATGCTTGTATATTTGATATTAATAACCAATTATTTTTCGATGATTTTTTTTTTATTCATGATTAATAATTGTAATGATTGATTTAATTATCTTTATTTTTCTTGCTGCAAGAAAAAGAAGAAAAATAGATTCTTTGTAGAATAAAAATCTTGTTAAGTAATTCCGAACAAAATTTATTTCCCAGGTGTAAATAAATGTTCCATCAAACAGTCATAATGTTTTTTCTAGCATGAGTAAATATCATGTTAAATTGCAAACAATAAATGTATACATTAGATTACTAAATTGAACTGGAAGAACCTTTAGAAATAGTCTTTTTCTTTGTCTATGAGTTCTACTACTACTACTGATATATATCTTTTTATTTTCAAAAATCATGGAAGATTCTGTTTTTGCGCGTGCAGATTTTCTTTCTTTTAAGTAGATTACTTCTCTTCTCTTCTTCCTTTTAGATTGAAGTATATAACAGCATGGACAATAATAATTCGACTCAGCTAGTGGCTAATGCATACACTAGTAGACCCTAAATGTGCTAATGTCTACCCCTAATTTTTTTCTCGCTTTCGGTCTATCTAAATACTAGTCAATTGGGTTGTGTTTTTTCTACAAATGTCTATATTATTTTTCTCCATTGGACCATTCTCTATCTATTCTATTTCATTACATTAATCTATATATATATATCTGTATGCTAGTAGTTAAATAAGTATCATTCTAGAAAAAAAAATAAACGAAATTAATGAGTACATAAAAATAAAAAAGAATCAAATATCAGTTATTTTATATTATAAATTCGTTTTTTTCTGCTTTCATTTTGAAAGATTTATATAAAGATTTGCAACATTTTGTCAGATGATCGACGAAGCACGCTTTTAATACTGTTTGATAGGTCTCGAGGGGAAACACTAACAAAAGAGAGTGAGAAAGAGAATAAGTCAGGATGTAACTAACATTTGACAAGCATAGAAGTAGAATTTTCCAAGCCTGTTCTTATCCAGTATATACACAAAAAGACGATGGTTTCCGTTTGATAATTCAGGAAAAAACAGACAGATGATTAGCATTATATATTGCCACTGACATATGTCAATTGTACTTTTAAGAAAAATTTTTCGTTTTCTATGAACGTACGTATCATGAATAGTAAGAAAAAAAAAGAATTCTAGGTTGACTATTATCATTAGTAAGGAAATAAATCATTTTGTCTTAGTTATAATAAATGTCTTGTTGACATTGAACTAACAAACTCCAATCTTTTATTAGTTTTCCCGTATGAAATATAATTAGTTTTAGTTTCTTATCTCTAAATCTAATTGAACTGTTAGAGTAACGTATGTTGTTTGTTGTTGTCGTCATCTTTTAAATATAAGGAAATCTTATTTTTGTGATCGATAACAAAAAAAGGATGGAAAAGTTTATTGCTTTCGTTCATCAATCATTCTAATAGGAAGTGACATCGAAAAACAAACGATGAAAATCCACTTTATCTCGAAAATCGTTTCCGGTTTGCTTTCTATATTATCATGCTCTTTACTTCTACTCTTTGTTCTTTTTATAACTTCCATTTTCTCTTCTTTTTCTTCTTCTTCTTCTTCTTCTTTTTTTGGTTTTAAGACTTACGCACGAACGAACGCATGTCTACAAAGAATTCATAGTTTCCTTGCTTCTATAAAGAAATATCTAAGGAAAACCTTCTTCTTCTTCAGATTTTTTTGTCGTGTATTTTCTTTTCTTTGACAAAAAAAATATTATCATTATAGACTAGCTTCTCGACAACTATTTGTTTCATCTCACATACATTGAGATTATTATAAAGAAGCTGATAATTTGCTTATTTAAACTTAAAATCAAAGTAAAAAAAAGCTTTTTCTTCTTCTTCCGTTATCCGACCTTATATTCAAAACGAGAAGAAGAAAAAAACGAGAGGATTCAGCTATGTGAAAATATTTCTTTTCATCAAACATGCATGAAATAATTGTATGATTTAACTAACAAGTTAGATAAATATAAACAATAGATACTATTACATCCGTCAGTTAGACTACATGTAAGATTAGAAAGAAAGAAAATTAGAAATAGAATACATTATTTACTATAGAGTAATAACTAGTTTCTTTTTTTCAACTAAGCTTAAGATTTCTAGTAGAATAAAACTCAAAAATGTTTGCCTGATCATTATTAGACAATATATGATTATCTTTATTTTTAGTTATGCATATATAAAAACTAAAAATGACGGAAGATAATTATCTTGACGTTGTTGAATTAAACGTTGGTGGTGTAACATATGCAACAACATTAGGTACATTACAACAAGCTGAACCTGATTCACCACTTGCAACAATAACAACATTAAATTCATCTGATATTCGAGCAATATTTGGACGTGATAGTAAAAATCGTATATTTATTGATCGAGATGGTGTTCTCTTTCGATATATTTTGGATTATTTAAGAAATAAAAGATTATCATTACCAGAAAATTTTGCTGAACGTGATCGACTTAAAAATGAAGCAGATTATTATCGATTAAATGGAATGATTCAAGCATTAGGACAAATACGTTTATATACAAGTTCAAATGGAAAATCTTCGAATGATAATATAACTCCTCGAGCAACAGGAGTAAATTCTATTGATTTAAATTCATCGTTAATGAGTTCACGAGTACCAGCTCCACGTTCTAATACTGGATATATTGTTGTTGGTTATCGTGGTACATTTGGTAAGTAGAAATTTTGTTGACGAACAAGGAATATTTGATTTTAATTTTTTTGTTAAAAAGCTTTTGGTCGAGATGGCTTAGCTGATGTTAAATTTCGTAAAATTTCTCGTATACTTGTTTGTGGTCGTGTACATCTTTGTCGTGAAGTATTTGGCGAAACATTAAATGAATCCCGAGATCCTGATCATGGTCAAACTGATCGATATACATCACGATTTTTTCTTAAACATACATTTCTTGAACAAGCATTTGATATGCTTGGTGAAGCTTCATTTTTTATGGTAAATTAACATGAAAAGAAAATTTTTTGTTTTATTCTCTGTTATATTTAGGTTGGTTGTGCAGCAAGTGGTTGCAGTAATTCAACTAGTGAAATAGGAAAACAAACTGATAATGAAGAAAATCGTTGGTTACATTACAATGAATTTGTCTTTTATCGCAGTTAATTTTCCTTTTTCGTTTTTTTTCCTTGTCATTTTATTTTGAGACATATGTACACGACTGGTATGCAAAAATTTTTATTTTCTTCTATGTTCTTGTATGTTTATCTTCCTATAATCAACAGAATAAATAAATAAAAGACAATGTCTTCTGTGCTTTGGTTTAACTAAATCATATCATTATTGATTTTATCAACTCTACAAGAAAGAAAAGATTATATCTATTTTTATTAGATAAGCAGATTTATCCAGCTATACACACAAATAGAAAATTAATAAATATACCAAATATAGTCGAGGTATTTATAAACTTATCATCTATAATCAGCTGATTATTAACATTCTTTGAATTATTTATTTTTCATATTGAATAAAACTAATTGACGATGATCATTTATATTTAGTTATAATAAATTTCTTTGGCTATCTTCTTTAGATTTATCATTTGAATGTATTCAATATAATTGAGACATGGTGAAACACAATTCAAAAACAAATTAACTAGTACGAATCGGAAACATGACTAGAAAGTTTTTACGCTTTTTCTTTTACTATGAAAATTATTTATAATAATTCTTTTCTTTCTAATATTTTTATTGTATTTAAGCACGTAAAAAAATATTGTTTATGGTAATTTCGAAATCATTAATAAACATTATATACATAATTTCTTTTTTAAAATCATTTATCTTGTTCTTAGAGACCAAATCGAATAGTTTTTTTTAGAAGAAATGAATTGAATTATATATATAAAATAAGATTGCTTTCGTATAACTATTTAAGTTATTCTTAATGTACTCAAACTAATGACTAAAAGTGGTTTCATCATTCTCATTCACTATTGAATAAAGTACTGTTTTGTAGAGAAGTGTTTGTATGGAAAAGAAAACGTCGTTTTCTACTCTATAAAATAACTAATGTTATCGAAAGAGACGAACAAAAAATCTAAGATAATTGAAGAACTAATGATCATTGTGAAAAGAAAAATGGAAGAAATACTTAGAGAAATATTATATAAACTCGCTGATCTTCCCTAGTGTAAAATTAGCTACTAGATAATATCTGTTAATCATTCAGTTGTGAGAGGTCAAAGATAATACTTTGTCAAGAATAGTAGATTATATTGAATGAACTTTTGTATTTTTTACGATAGAAATAATAAATACAGAAGTTTATACCAATAATAATCGCTATTCGTCGATTAGATTCTTTTGACCAAATATCTTACATGTAAATAAATAACAGAGATATGCTAATGGCTAGACGATAAGGTTTTATATTAATATCTCTTTAACAATGTACTTATGGGTTATATAAATTCTATGCATCAAGAATAATTACGATGAGATTCATTTAAATCTAATATTAATTGTTTGTTTTAAATCTTGACAAAGTAATTTAATTTGCATACATATTCTCGTAGCTTTGACTTGTGTTTGTGTTTTCTTAACTAATACTACTAAATATAATTATAAATGTCTATTCGTTATCGGTCGTAACAACCTAATCTTTATTTTTATTAGAATTATAGATGATATTATACGTTTATCCAAGTTCTGTTCTTATTGTATTTCCCTTGTAGTCTAATTCGATCAGTAGAGAATTTAGAACTATATGATGGTAATCGTTTTGCCCAAATTGAATCTGTCGGATAAATAATATTTATTCTAACTTTTCTCTACTAAAATAATAATGTGCACGGGTTGTTGTTTTCGAATGCATAGGATTCTCATAGTAAAAATAATGAATAACTAAATGTATTTAAAAATTTGTGTTATTTATCTTTTCGATCAATAGATCTATATTTGGTTGTACAAACATATTTTTTTCTACATTTGAACGAATGCAAAGAAAATACAGTTTTGATTATCATCGCTTAAGCCAAAAAAATCATTTAAGATTTCTGAAAGTCAGATGTGAATATTCTATCGATAAATTAAGACATCAATTTTTTTTTATGTTTGCTTTATATTATTTTCATATATATGATATAAGTTTGACATTAATGATCTAAAGTTTTGTATTTATATTCATTTTTTTTTCTTTCTTATTTTTTTTCAAATATATGAACGATCAAAACAGAAAACAAATAGAACGAATATTATCAGATGGTTAAATATTCGCGTATGATGACACATTGTTTTAGAATCGTAATTTTTGGAAGAACCATTTGTGTTTTCCTGTTTTGTAACTAAATAAAAAAGAAAACAAAATGTATATTTAACAAAAATAATTTATTCATTCTTACCGTTCTTCGAATTTTTCTTTAGCATCTCGAAGAGCTTTTCGTCGGAGACCAGCATCACGAAATACTTCTTTATTGATTAAACTTTTTTCAAAGTTAATATCAACAGTGTATCTAAAGAAGAAATTTTTATTTTACAAAAATATTTCAAATCTTTATTTACCGAGTAGCCATTAAATGGTTATAATTAATAACTTTAACGAATGGTTTAATTTTATTACGACGTGCTTGTTTCTTCTTTCCCATTCGTTTTGTTACCTTTCGTGGATAACGAGAAATACCAGCAACAAGTGCATGACCATAACCTCGTTCATTGCTACCTTCATCATGGGGCTAAAAAAAATTTCTCTAACATAGAAAATAATTTATTCAAAGGAAAATTTTATTACTTTAATTACTACTGCCTTGCGGCCAGCATAACGGCCAGCTAAGACAATAACAACTTTCTGACTTTTCATAATTTTCACCATGATTGATACGGTGTGATAATCTAAAGGATAAAAATTAAAGATCTTTTTTTTTGTTAAAGTTAAAGTAAAAGAAAACAACAATAAATAAGTAAATGTAGGTATATGAATGACTGACTGACGAATAGTTAAATCATTTGATTGGTTAACATTTTTGGCCTGTCGGCCTCTGTTTACTAAACATGGAGGTTTTCGAAATATTATTTAATTGATCAGACAAAGAAACCAATCAGAATTTACAATTAATATAATATAATATATTTTCACCAAGGATATTAATCAATAGTGATTGAAATATTTTTATGCCTATTATAAGTCCAAATCTAGCTCGATTATTTTTTTTTCCAAGTTATGGGTAATAGAAATCGAATTTTTTTGTATCATATATTTATCGATAGAATTTAGATATACGCATCTTTTAACATATCTTGGTATTCGAAATGGTTATGATAAAATTGATAATACAGTTTATGTTGGTATATTACCAACGATTGCAATGCAAAAATATTTAATTGAACATGAAAAAGTTAATGCTGTTATATCGATGAACGAAGATTATGAATTAACGTGAGTTTTTATTATAATAAAAAGATTTTGTTGTTTAGTTAGATTTTAAACGAAAGAATGAATATTTTAAATAAGAAAAATAATTGCAGTTTCGTTTTTTGCCATCATAGAAGACTATTCAATGAAAAGTTTTAATACTGTAATAAAATCATTAGTGAATTGATAAGACATCTGTCTATTTGATTATTCTTTTTGCTTCAAGAAACAGAAGATTATTGAAGCGTATTAATCAAGTGGTAGTCTCAAATACAAAATGAACTGCTTTAGTCTTTACAATTTCAAAAACAATTTTTTTTCTATATATTTACATTCTATTAGAATAGAGTTTTTGTGTTTTGATGAATCATTGTAATTCAAATTTATCATAGTCTCCTGCAGAGTTCGATCTATAGAATATAATAGGAGACTCTTGTATTCGTAATAAATAGTTAGAAAGTATCCAATTGAACAAAGAATAAAGGTTCACGATAAATTTTCACGACTGTCACGAATCGGGAAGAAGGGAGTAATCCTCCTCCCTAAAGTTCAAGTCTCGGTTGAATAGTCTGTCTTGAATTATAGTAAAGCATTGACTGTCTGGACGTGTAAAAATTACTCGCAATAAAGATAATAACGAATATTTTCTTCTTGATCTATCGCATCTAAGCTAGAAAAATATATAGTTAACTTAGCAAAAAAAACTATGAAAATTGATCTGTTCCTCTCCCACTTACAATTCTAAAAGTTTCATGACAACACTGTAAATTTTTAATTATATTCCTTGAGAAAATATTTATAATGGAAGGTCTTCAAAATAAATGCAGATGTTACTATTAAAGAAATGAAATTGAAGACTCTTTTATTTAATATTCTTAAGTGTTTATATATCAAACATAAATAATATAATTAGAATGATCTCATCGTACCTTGTCCAGTAAAAATATATAGGTTATTAATCATACTCCTGATAAATGCCATTCCTATATTTATTTATCTTGATAATCCGAGTGTAATGATATAGGATAATGTTTGTTGATGGAATATTTTCTTTCATCTGTGAAATTAGTGACAGATTTATATTCAATTCATACTTTGATGTATAATTCTCTTCTTCTATAGATATGTTTCTGATCAAAGTCTTTGGGCTAAACATGAGGTTCAACATTTACGTTTACCTACTGTAGATTTTTCAAATCCACAAGTTGAAAATCTTTTTCATGGCGTTGAATTTCTTCGAACAGTACGTCAAGCAAATAAAACAGCATATATACATTGTAAAGCAGGTCGTCAACGAAGTGCGAATTTAGCTGCATGTTATTTAATTGATACATATGGTATGACACCTGAAGAAGCTGCTCGTCGTATACGTTCAATCCGACCAAGTACTATATTTGGTGCACGTGAAATGAAACGTTTACATGATTTTGTTGAACTTTTACGGGAAGAATATAATAAAAAACAAGAAGAGAAAGACGAAAAAAATAAAGTATCGGAATAAATTTTTTTATTAATTTTAGATGAGTGTTTTATCAACAAAAAAGAAAAATGTTTATATTGATAGAATAAATGAAAGTTTATTATTATTCAATCGAAATATTGATAAATTTAATGAACTTCTTAATATATTAAGTCAATTGATTGATGTAGCAACAGGTCAAATTAATGATATAGAAAAAACACTTGGAAACAATGATGATGATGATGATGATGATGGTGATGAAAATGAAGAACAACAAATGACATCTGATAGCGAAAGAGAATTAATAATTGGAGGAAAATTATGTGAATTAAACGAAGATTTAAATACTTCTTCACGTGAACTTCGGCAATCATGGTAAGATGAATTCTTTTACTTATCTATACTCATAAAACAATTGTCAACATGTAACAATATTGCTTATCTTGTGAACTCGATTGACCCTTTACTTCTCCTTGGCCATTCGAGTGACCATTAATAAAAATACCCAAAAGCATAAAACTCAATAACTTCGCAAGTAAATTTTAGAGTGAACCCCCATAAGCAACCAGTTGGTAAAAAAAGATTTTTTTTAGTTACCCTTCCTCTGAGATAGATGAGTCACAAAAGTGATGTTTTTGAAGACATCGAAAAAAGTGGATTTTATCCAAAACAAAATTTTTTTTGTTTCAAACAGACAAGACATGTCTCGAGGATGTGTAATATGATAGATGTCTATGCTAAGATTTACTCAACACCTTTCGAGAGTTTCAGATATAAGCTTTGACCATTCGATTTGGTCATACTATCTGCATATTGAGGGAGCCACTACATTCTATTCGTGCGGTTATTTTAGAATCGGTATGGTGATTAAGGGATTAATTTATCTTTATTCTTTAGGAGTACACTTGAAAAACAAGGTGCAGCAATATCAAAATCAGTCTTTCAATTACCAAAATTTGTTCAGCTTTTTCTTGATACAACTAAAACTGATGCTGATTTCAATGATCCATATTTTCGTTTTGAAATGGTTCATTTTAGTGAACAATTTCCTATTGCTGGGCAATTTTATTATGAATTGTAAGGTTATAAATTCAAAATTTCGATTATAAAATCAAACAAAATTTCTTTTGTTTCCTAGATGTCTTGAAATTCAAGTCAATTTTCTTGATTTATCAAGTATGAAATCTATTAAACATTTATCAACTGTTTTAGAATTACTTTCTTCTCGTTTACCTTCAATTTCAGGTACTAATTTAATAACAAATAATTTTTTTATCTCGTATATCATTTTCTTTCTAGTACCTCTTCAGATTATTCGTCAAATACAAATAAAACTTAGTTGATTTTTTGTTTTAGATGTAATATTATGACAAATTTCTTATTTAAACATCTACAAACACTTGCTATTGCAAGTGTAACATTAACATCATCGTATTTTGTATTTTATCAAGATAATAATCAAATAAGAAATCGTTTGATTTCTTTATTAAAACTTCAAGCAGCTGAATATGTAAATAAAGATAAATTTTGTTATGAAAAAAAAAGAAAAATATTATTTTTTCTTTAAGGAACGAAGAAATGTAGGACTATCATCTTCACGAAGTCGTTTCATGGAACGAAACAAGGATAATATTGATGATGACGACGATGATGATGATGATGATGATGATAATGATGAGAATAAAGATGAATCTGATAAAACGAAAGAAAATGTATCAAATATGCGTGAAAAACGTTTTCGAGAGTTTGCTTCCGTTGAATATAATGATGAAATATATATGGTAAATTAATTTTCAATAGATAATTCAGTTTCTGAAACATAATTATTCTTCTAGACACCATTGGATTTTCTTGAATCAGTTATAACCGAACGACCAAGACGTATGAATAGAAACGAAAACAAAAAATACTGATCTATTTCTTTGTTTTATTTTTTAATAGCTCGTATTGGTCGTCGACATTTAACTGAAGAAAAAATTGATTCAATCTTATATGGTACACCACCAAAACATCGAGGTTCAAAAAGATTTTTTCGTAACCTTGAAGATGCTGGTTAGAATTTTTATAATAATTATATTATTTTATATATTAAATTAATTCTTTTCATAAAGGTCTTATTTCGTTTTCGGAATATTTATTTCTTTGGGTGATTTTAACAAGTAAAAATAAATCTTCTATTTCGCTGACAATATATATATATATATTTATTATTTTAGAACCGCATACACAATTTGAAATTGCATTTGCAATGTTTGACACAGATGGTAATATTAAAATCATTTCATTATTACGATTAAATAAAAATAACTTGAGTAATGTCAAATCGTAAACAATAAACTAGCTATTAATACGTTTTCGTGACATTATTGTCAAAAAGTTTCTTCAAAAAACACTGTATCAGATAGTTTATTACAAGTTTTCGACTATTCTTTATAGATAATAAGTCTTATACAGACTAATGTGTTTTTTTAGCAACAGTCTTTCTTATTATACAGCTATTTAATAGACCGTTACATATATGTAACAGATGTCATATAAGGAATTGACATTTTATGACAGTTTTGTAATAGAAAAAAAAGTCTCCTATTAATTTTTCGTTTTGATTATAACACTTAAAACTATAAATACAAATTACAGGGAAATTCTAGACTTGATAAATTAAAATTTTGTTTTTATTAATTAATAAATATAAAAGATAATTTCGATTATAATATTACTTTTTCGATAGGTAATCAATTGGTTGATAAACATGAATTTCTTGTGGTATATTCAAATTTTTCTATTTATTTTCATGTAAAAATTAGTTTTTTTTAAATTTAGCTTGGAAAAGTAATGAGTGATAAACGTATGTCGCGTCGACAAACATCAAAATCAATGACGAAAAATTTAAGTGGTTCTAATGTAAGTTTAATTAAAATATATCTATGCATATATTTGCTCTTTGTTCCTAAATATTGTTTTATTATTATTACTAAAAAAAAACAAAAAAAAAACACACTAACTATTTGTCACAATTTGCACATATATGTATTTAGTTTTTAAAATCAGTCTTCGATATACAAAAGAAAAAATCAATAAAAACATCATCTATAAAGGAATTAGATGTCGTACGTATGATAAAATACATATACAATAATAAATAAGACAATAACTTTTAATTTGCACGTTACGCACTCTTTTTGATGCTTGATACTGAATTTTACTTGGTTCTTGGAAATTTTGATATTCATTTCCTCATTTTTAAAATGAAATGAATCTATTAATTTCTTTTTATAGGTACAAGAACATAAACAAACTGATACAACATTACTTTTACATTTCTTTGGAAAAAATGGCCGTGATACATTAAATTATACAGAATTTAAACGGTAGAATAAATATATTGTTATTTCTAAATAATATATATCTATTTATTTAAAATAGTTTTATGGAAAATCTTCAATTAGAAGTACTTGAAATTGAATTTAATGAATTTTCACATGGATTTAAAACAATATCTGATTTGGATTTTACCGAAATACTTTTACGATATACAGATTTTGATCGTGATACGAAAAGAATTATTTTAAAGAAGGTTAAAAAAACAGCTAGTGATGCAAATGTATGAAGAAAAAAACACTTTTATTCGTTCTTTGATTAATTTTTGTATGTTACACATAGGGTATTACATTTGATCAATATAAGCAATTCTTTACATTTCTTAATAATCTTGAAGAATTCAGTATTGCCATGCGTTTTCATCAATTATCAAATAAACCAATTTCACAAGGTGAGTATCGAGATATAGATAGGTTATAACCTTAACGTGATAATTTTGCAAGATATAGAATTACTATCAAAATGAATATAAATGATTAATCTTTAAATAAATATCAGCTTGTATTTTGTTTTCAATTTTCAGCGGAATTTCAACGAGCTGTCAAAATTTCTACTGGTTTTGAGCTTGATACAGAAGTAATTGGTCTTATTTTTCGAATATTCGATGCTGATGATGATCAACATTTGTAAATACGCTCATTTATTTGTAATATATTTTTTTCTCAACTATTTATTTTATAGAAGTTACGATGAATTTATGGCTGTTATGAAAGATCGATTATCTCGTGGCTTTCAGGTTTAGTTTCATTTTTAATTTGGCTACTAATAATAATTTTTTTTTTTTAAATAGACATCTGAGTATGCCGATGTATCGGGTACAAAATTTGAACAATTTAAACGTTGTTTCCGTGAACGGGCCAAGTATGATTCTATCGCTGCTTTATGTTGAATGAAAAAAAAATACTGTGATGCTAAAAAAATGCTTTGCACTAATGCATGTGAAAAAAAAGTAACGCTCATTTATTTGCACCCTTTAGAGAATTCTAATCAACACACATTAATTAACTTAGTAAATTAATATGAATTTAATTAATCCAAAAAAAAACGCAATTTGATTTTTATTTTAATACATTTACAAGTTTGGCTCACAAGCAAAAAAATCAACAAATGTGTTTCTCTTGTTATATTTATTCTTATATATTTATATGGCTTTTATTTTATCTAGAATGGCAATCAAGGAAGAAAGATTGTGGCTCGCTTTGTGGAAAAAAGAAGTTTTTCTGTAGTTTATATTTACCTTTTTTTTTGAATTTATAGTCATTGTTTGTCTTTTAATTTTCATTTCTTATGACTTATATATATATTTACATATCTTTATATAAAAATAGTTCATTGTCGATTATTGATTTTTCAGATGTAAACATCTCGTGAATATGGATAATGAGTTAAATTTATTACGAGTACCATACCCTGACAAAAGGTAAGAAGAAAATAAATTTTTGATAGTGAATTAATTTCCTTTTTTTAGTGCTATCGAACAACAACAACAACATGAAAAAAATACTGATATTGATGCATATTTATCCTCATCATCAACTTCATTATCTGAAATAGACGATGAACATAAACAACAATCAATTGAAACACCAGTAACTACGATTAAAAAGAAACGTACTAAATGGCATGTATATGATACAGTAGCCAAATTTTTATTAAAAAATCGTTTTTATTTAACTGCTTTGGAATTTTATACTGAATTATTAGAAAATGGATATGATTTACCACGTTTACGTGAATATTTTTCTAATCCTGCTAATTTCGAAGGTTCATCTTCAACAACAATAAATAAACAATCATCATTCATTCGTAATCTTAGTCATTATGCTGATGATGCTATTTCTCTTGGAGGTGGTGGCGGTGGTGGAAACGGAGATTATCTTTTTCGAACATCAAGTAGTCAAACATTTGATTCAACTTCAATCGATAATATAACTCGTTATTCGGAAGATATTGATTGGAATAATGGTAATGGTAGTAGTGGACCAATAATGAGTGGTAGTGGATTTGGTGAATTACGTTTTAATGATGAACGTGTTGCTGTATTAGAATTTGAATTAAGAAAAGCACGAGATACTATACAAGAATTACGACAAACATTGACTTATGATTCAGCAGATGAACAACAACAACAACAGAATAAAAAACCAGATGAAAGAAATGGCAAATATCAAAGTAAATAAATATTGATTTATAAGTCTTATTCAGTATAGGTAAAATTAATAAGAAGCATCGAATGGGTTTCCTTCTCTCACCTGCACACATTCAACTTTTATATCGAAATAAGCTACAGATGATTTTAAACTACACCTGTGAGCTATAAAGAGTTCTGGAAATGACCAGAAGGCTTAAAGTCTATAAGAGTTGCTATGATACCGTTTTTAGTGAGCGAAGAGCGCACACTAGACAGATATAGATTTTTTTTCCATACGATTTATGTATTGTAAAATCTTTCAGTTAATTCATCCTCGTCGAATTCCACACAACCATTAATACCATCAGGATTAGCTGTTCGTCCATTTGAACGTCGTACATTAAATTATTTAATTAATGAATATCTTCTATCAAATAATTATAAAGTAACAAGTGTAACTTTTGGAGAAGAAAATGATACATCAGATTTAGAAGATTGGGATAGTGTTGGTTTAAATTGTGCTCGACCACCTGATTTAAATCAATTATATCGGTGGTATTGCCATCAATTAAATGTTGATAATGAAAAACCAACGAAAGAAGATTTTTCAATGTTAGTTAATTTTGATGAAAATATTCATGATGAACATAAAAATCTAAAAACAACTGTACAACAAATGGTATAATCTATTTCTTCTATTTCTATATGTCATAGATATATATTTTGTTTTAGCAATTTGATTTAGTTGAATATAATAAACGAATTAATCAAATTGAAGATGAAAAATTAAATCTTAATAATGAAATCCAATGCTTAGAACATGAAAAGAAAAATCTTTTAATACAATTACAAGTTTTACAAAATCGTTTAACATCCGATGAACCAACAACTGAAATTAAAATCGAAGATGCAATACAATTAAATTCATCTAGACAATTACCACAAGTTTATCGACGTGCATTCGAACGTCAATCATTATCTTATAATATTAATGATGATAAACTAGATGATGATATTGAAATAAATCATGATTATGAACAAAAAACATTTGAAGATATTATTCAAGAATTAAATACACTTTCATTAGATCAAACAGATTTATTAGATTTAATTGTACGAACTATTACAAAGATTAGTTCACATTTGAATGGATCGAGAAAATTAGTAAGTAAATTATTTGTCTTCTTTTAATAACGTATTGAAGACAGTTCAGTATTTTATCTAATGGGCGGCGCCCATCCGAAATTTCGATTCGCCCACCCAGAAAACAAGGTCTAGCCAAAGCACTGATAGGCGGCGCCCACCCGCCATCTCAATTCGCGCACCCGAAAAAAGAAATCTGAATAAAACGCTTATACAGTTAAACAAGGACTCATGAATTATGATACTATATCGTTGACATCGCCCATTTACAGAATGACAGATACGAAACCCACATGAACTTATGTTGGGTGTGGGTGTGCTGGTATGAGGTCTGTGCTCATCACATATACCCACCCATACCCTCCTATTTCTACAATTGAAAACTATTGATATAATATTATTATTTTTTTCAGGATCTTGTTCCATTAATAATTTGTACATCCATATTACATACAAAAACGAATGAACGTGATCGTCTACTTAAAACACTATTTAATTTATATAAAAAACCTTCATATAATCAACGACAAGTTATATTATATGCTTGCCTTTGTTTTGCTAAACAAAGTGGCCCATTACGTGTACATGCAGAATTATTACCACAATGTTGGGAAAATTTAAATAATAAACTTGACGAAAGACGTTGTCTTGTTGCAGAAGCATGCGGTATTTTAACACCACATTTACCTGTAAACATTTCAATTATTTAATAAGAAAATGAATAGAAATTTTTTTGTTTTTATAGAAAGATATTCGTGTTAGTTTAATATTTTCTATGTTACAACAAATGCTTGCAGAAGATAAATGTGATCAAGTACGTTGTGTATGTAGTAAAAGTTTAGCAATGGTTATTAATGAAATTGATGATGAATCTCGATTATCTCAAGTAAGTTTTATTTCTATTAAAAATAAAAACAATTTTTTTGTCCTTTCTATTTCTATAGTGTATTGAATTACTTGATAGATGTTTATCTGATACATCCGATGTTGTTCAAGCAACCAAACGATATTTATTACCATCAATTGCTCTATGGTGTCTCGAATTAAATAAGATTTGTCAAGTTTTAATTGAACATTATTTAGTTAAACTTGAAGCACTTGTACAAGTTAGTTAAATTTATTATAATCTCTAAATTATTAGCAAAAACTAAACAATTTCTTGTAGAATATTCCAACTCCATCATCAATTGATAATCAACGCTTTAATCAATTAATGCATATATTAACTGATTTAATTGTATTTATTTTTGCATCCGCTTTAAAATCTATGACAATTACGAATGATCTTTCTCAAATGAATTCATCAACACGTATATTACCTGATACAGCATTATCAGAATTTTATCAATTACATATAATTTTATCTCCAATAAGTGAAAAATTACTGAGTCATTATGATGAATGTGCAATTAACGGAGAATTTCCATTTACTGATCATATTAATACATATTTAGATAATTTGTAAGATAATTGAAAAAAAAACGAAATTTATTCATTTTTTATTTATCTATTAGTTTAAAACGTTCATTTGATACAATGGCATATATTGACATAACCAATGTGAAGTTAGTTCATGCATGTAGTGAATTTATTAAAATGATAAGTCGTTATTTTGGAAGAAATTTTTGGAAATTAAAAGTAAGTAGAAAAAGGTTTGTCTGCATAGCTCCGTTGAAGCTAAAAATGTAGAAATTACGTATGTTCGTATTATAGATACCTAATAGCTTTCAAATTTTTGGTCTTGTTTTAAATCGGAAAGAAAACGTATTTGTTGACATTAGAATCCCTTCACAGGTGCTATAAAGGGTGTGGGTGATATATTATCTTGTAACCCACACGTATACCCTCAATTTTTGACCGGTTGTCCAAGGTCTGTATAGGAAGAGTGAGAGATAGAAATAGATCAGATGTCCTAAGATGGTCTCTCAATAATATTTCTATTCTTTATATATTAATAGATTAAACCACTTTATACAACAACTAATTCATCCGTATCGCAAGATGAAGGTCCTCGTAAAGGTAAATAATCTTATAAATTTTCTCGTACATGACATATTTTGATTTATTTAGAAGCTCCGTTTGTTCTCTATGCTACCGGTGTATTATGTTCTTGGACAACAGAACAAGAACGAGCAGAATTAACTCAGTATATATATGATGCACTTCTTCTTATTGCAAATCAAAAATTAACTATAAATACTTTGCAAGCAATATATGCAGAAATTGGGTAAATAATTATATTATTCTTATTGTAATATTTACTGAACTATTATATTATATTTTCAGATCTGATATTAATTTTCAAGATAATTTATTAAATATTCTTCGCGATTCGTTAACTAATACAAATTCCCAAATTCGTCTATATACTTTGCAATTGTTTAGTGTAAGTTTTGTTTTTCATTCTTCTAAACTTAAACTATATACTTATGTTATGATTAATCTTTAGATTACATTAACACTTGTTAATCATTCGACTATATCCAATAAGATCTTGCCAGCTTTAATTACGCTTGCATCTGATGAAGATATGTAAGTGTCGTTGACTATTTAAAAATTAATTCAAATTTTTGTTTTTATAGTATTGTTAGAACAGCAACTATACCAGTATTTGGATCAATTATCGTTGAATGCTCAGAGTCTGAAGTAAGATATTGTTAACAATAATCGATGAATTTACTCTAATTGCCATGCGATGTATTAGTACAAAACCTCCTGTGTTATAGAGAAAACGTTTTAGCATTATTTGCATATCATAATCAATTGGTAGTAGGCACACAATGGTGAAGGTGCACCGGTGACACCGTACTGCCGGTGACCGGTGGGCGCACTAGAAACCTGCGGCAATGATCGGCTATCTCTACTATTAGAAAATCTAAATAATGGAGACAACTGGTCACCACCGCAGGTTCTTAATGTCTCCACCGGTCACCGACAATATGGTGCCGCGGATGATCTCTCGTTGAATATGTATACATAAATAAGAAATATCATAACATACATTTCAATTTATTTGTACTACGAAGGATCCGAATAGTCAATATAACTAAATTAACTAATCTTTTTCTTTTTTTACTTATATTAGATCCTTGAACGAGTTTATGCTCAATTTCAAATGTTTGATAAGTAAGAAAGATTTCTATATAATAAATTTATTTTAAATTCAAAATATCTAGTGATACAACATTTCGTGATGAACATCGTGTTCAAAGTGAATTTATAAAAACTTTTACTCAAATAGCACCACAAACTGAAAATAAATTTCGTGAAGATTTTATATTACCATTTCTAGCATTAATTGCTTCACAAAATTCTCAACAGCAATCAGAACGTGGTTCAGCAAAACGTCTTGAAATTGCAACTTATTTATTTGAAGCATATAGTGCATTATCATGTTGTTTTCATTCTGGTCAATCGATATTAAATAGTTTCTTACCTGGTCTCTATTGTTTACGTGTTGATTTTGCACAATTAAGACCTGATAGTGTTGCTGTATTAGATTCAATTATTAAAGATCTTGAACATAAACTTGAACAATATAGACAAGATAGGTTTGTATTTTATTATATTGAAATAAGAATAAACGAAATTTTATGATTTTAGTTCGTTATTAATTGGTGGTGCAAGTCTTAATCAAGAAAATATTCGAGGGCGAATGCTCAAAGGGTTAACTAATATTCGAGATTCAACGGAAAAATTAACTTATCGATTTATGAAAAAGAAATAGAACTCTTTATCTGAGCTTTAATGATCAAATCACAATTTTTTTATTCCATAATGCTCACATGACATATAAATATATATATGAACCGAGTTGCCTAAAATTCAAATATTTTTTTTTTTGTTTCGCTGTATATTTGTGTTGAATTTATTTTTTCTCTTTTTTTTCCTTATGAAAACATATATTTAAAAACGACAATGGAAAGTTAATCTCATACATTCCTTATTAATTAATCGAAATAAATTACCTAATGACTATATTATTAATGGATTTGTTTTTAAATAATATAAAATAAATATCACACTGGTCTAAATAGTTTTTCAAGCACCTATCAAAGAATGCCTCAATAATAGAGTTTATCGAACCAATCTTTCCAGACTGAAATTCAGTGTGGTATAAGTTTTGGTTCATATATCAATAATATGCATATTTTACATCAATTGTGGCATCGATCTGATCGTATTTCAATCTGTATCGACTTACGTTAATCAACATTCTGTTCATAAGATATCCATTCACAGTTTGTCTATATTGATTATATTCTATTCATTATCGAAGATTATGGTTTTAATACTTGAAATTGATTATAACATCGTTAATTAGTTGAAATCACAATGTCTTCCTTTTTGATAGGAATCTAACTATATACTTGTTCTTCTAATCTAAAAGTCTTCGAGTAAATATTATTGATGTGAAAAAGTGAATAAATTATCAACAATGATATTCTAGTATAACTTCATAAGAAAAAAACGTTCATTTATGTGTGAAATAGTTGAAAAAATTTTATTTGAGAAAATAAAAATATTTCTACAAGAAAGAGTGAAGGAGAAGTATATGCTTTTTAAATATTCAGCAGAGGACAGATTATAGCTACAGAAAAATAGAATGCATCATTACTTTCTTTTCATTGCACAACGATCAAATTTATGAAAGTGACAATACACAACAAACTAAGGTAAAAAGAAAAGAAAAAACATTGAGTGAGATATACTTGAGTAGGGATGAATATAATATTCCTTTACCCACTCACTTTTGTCCACCGACTTATACCTATACCATAATTTTATTGCTATACATATTGCAAAAATAAACAAGTAATAACATCAACACTATACAGAAAGATGTGCAAACAAAGATGCGTAAGTACATTTACAACATGTACGGGCAATTTCGTACAAATAATATACTTTACAGTGTGTTCATATATTGCATGTAGACATCAACGTCTCCTACTGAATAACTCATTTATTTTTTCTTAACATCTATTCAATTATACATCATTTGATAGATAAAATATTTCTCTATGCATTGATAAAAATTTATAATCGAGAAAAATATTGGTGAAATCAAAAAATAACGCCAATACACAAAGTATCATAGGTTTTACAGAAAGTCTTTTCTTCAATCGACGAAGCAGAAGTTCCGGGCTATTAAATAGACAAAGAAAGTCAAAAAAAAATTTTTCTTCGTTATTAGATTCGATTTGTGAGATAGGCGATCAGATGGTTATTTTATATGATGTATTCATCACGTATTAATACCTGAATACATGCATTCAGGTATCAATAGATACCACGTGTCTCGATTGAAGGTTGAGCATAAGGTTAATGAGTATGGATATGTCCATCGATGTTAGTGTCTTCATGAGGAGATATCAGTGGAAATGGAATGGCTATGCTAGTCACAGTCACACTCATAGTCTCGAGATGCTTAATTATATGTGTTATGTATTAGTACATAAGTTACTAAATTAAAGGTCTTCTAGGAATATATTTTTGTTTCTTCATAGTTACAAAATGCAAGCTTTTGTACTTGTCAATGACTATAATCTCTTATTTTTTGCAAATTGAAAAGGCATGTCTGAATTGGATGAATGTTTCTCTTGTATCTATTCTACTATTGCAAATAGTTTTTATTAATAATATATTGTTGATTAGAATCATTTTAGATGTTATTATTTGTATTAAGCTTATTTCTTATATTCTATAACTGTTCTTGTTGTTTCACCGACATCGATGAATCTTGTCAACAAGTAACATATAGATTCGAAACTAACTCATTAGATACAGAACCTAAAAAATGGAAGTGTGCTAATAATAAGATAGTAATTGAAGGAATAACAGATCATGGACAATATCTTATTACCTCAAATTTTCATGATTTCGGTTGTATGGATGCTTATGGAATGAAATGTTTTGAAAAATATCTAAAAAGATGTGTTTCATCAACAACACCTCATGTTGTAGATATTTGTTATATCAAAAATAATAATTATAAAAGTGATACTTATCAACTTATATCATCAGTGAATCAAAAACCACCAAAATCTATGTTAGAATTTGAATCAATGCTTGATAAACTAAACGCTACTGGAGAAGTAACTGAGGTGATTGATAATAAAATGTTTGAATTACATTATCCTCTTCAACAACAACTAGTTCTCGATTATTACAAATATGTATTACATGCAGATACAAATGTTTTATCATGTCTAATGGGTGAACTGTATGACTTCTTTTCAAACTCAACGAATTTCTCTTTTAGAATCAACGGTAGATTAAAGTCACCCTACTCATTCTGGTCAAAACTTGTAAAACGTCAAAAAAATGTTAAAGATTTATTTTCGTTTACAGTATTGGTCAAAACAATTGATGAATGTTATGAAATTTTCAATATATTACAGAAAAATTATGTGTTTAAAAAGATGATTGACTATATTAAGAATCCAGCAAGTAATGGTTATGAATCTATACACGCTACTCTTTTTGGATCATATGTAAATCAATATATAGAAATTCAAATTAAGACGGAGGACATGCATCTAGCTCAAATGCAAAATCACGCTCAATATAAACATGAGAAATATGGTGATCGAATATACTAATATGTACTGAAAACTAATATTTTGTAATAATAAAATCTACATCATAGTTATAAAAATATCTGATAAATCAAACTCCACCAACGAGAATGTTTGTGTACATGCAGAACAATAAAAGACAGAAATTGTTTTGATAGTGTGAGTTGTTATGCTAATCAAGCGTTATTATACAACATGATAAATGATTTATTACACTTGAAAATCAGTAGAAAAATAATACAAATTTTAACAATCGAAATTACAGAAAAATTGGAAGAAGATTATAGTGGAAGATTGTATATTAAATACTAACTTTTTACTTTTGAATCATCTTTATTACTAGTGCCATCAATTGTTTTATATAATTCATCATAATTACGAGATAACAATTTTTTCAGATGTTGCCCATATGTTTGCGGTTCATAGTTTGGCTTCTGTTCTGCTGGACACCATCGTGTTCCTAAATCGCGCGTATCGATAGGAAAATCTAATTGAGGATCCCAGAAAAAGACGATTGAATAACGATCACGACCGGAACGATTAATAACACGATGAGGAGTTGCTCGTAAACAATCATTTGTCCATTTCGAAGCGCTATCACCAAGATTAATTAAAAAAGCAGATTCACCATTTGATGAAATCATATTTGGAGCTGAAATCCATTCACCATTTGGTGTTTTTACTTCTAAACCACCAATATCATCTTGAGCTAAAATTGTTATAAAACCATAATCACAATGGGGTGCACTACCAAAAACACCTTCTGGTATTGGTGAAGGTTGTGGTGGATAATGAAGCATACGAAAACCAATTGATGGTCGTTCAAAATGTTTAGCAAATCGACTGAAATCAGTTTGACTTGTAGCAAAAAAAACTTTTGTTAATTCAAGAGCTAATTTTTCTAATTCATGATAATAAGATAGTACAGCTTCTCGAAAATCTGGCATACCATGTGGCCATTGATTAGGACCTTGTATGAATCGATTATATAATTCTTCTTCTTTTAAATCGGATGGTCCTTCAAAATGTTCATGATTAATAATAAATGATTCACTTTGATTAGGAGCTTTAACAATTACTTTTGTATCTTCTACTAAAATTCCTTTAGATTTCGATTCAGATTTGATTTGATAGGATGCTAATGGAAGATATCCTCTATGCCATTGATTCAAACGAATTTTATTCTTTTCTTCTAATGGTAATGCATGAAAACGACGATGTTGACAAAAAACTTCATTAATTATTGATTGCGGTACACGATGATTGACAATATAAGCAAAGCCTATTTCTTGAAATGCATATGTAAATTCTTGTGCAACTTTTGATAAACCACTGGAAGATGAATCCCACAATGGACTGAGATCAATGATTGGAATTGTCATCTAAAAAACAATTTTTTTATATTTTCTCATATGATTCCGCAGTTATAATAGAAAACATCATGTTTTACAATTGTTAATAGTAAAATCAGGAGTATGGACCATGCTGAGGGCGAGGGTGTAGGTGAATGCGGGTGGGTGTGGGTGCATGTGGGTGTATGTGGGTGCATGTGGGTGTATGTGGGTGGATGTAGGTGGATGTGGGTGAGTGTGGGTGCAGAGATGGGCAACTCCGAGAGTAAGCAACTCCAACTCCTTCGATTTTTTCACGGATCCGCTCCAACTCCAGGCAAAAAGGCGTCAACTCCGGAGTTGAAGTTGATCATCTCTGTATAGATATTTTTAACTGTTCTCTTGCACGTCATGAGATCCGTCGAAGTTGACTCGGAGTTGCAAAAATGCACCAAATCCAACTCCAGGTAAAAGAGGGTCAACTGCGAAGTTGGAGTTGCCCATCTCTGTGTGGGTGTGAGATAAGAACAACACCCGCATCTTACATTTAGTACAGAACAATCGTTCCTTGCAATTCTTATAAATCTTGTTTTACTATTTTATCGTCCCCATAATCAAGCATTCAAACTTTTATTATCATATAGTCCACAATATATTTTATTATACATATAAAAAATAAATAAACACTATTTATTGATTGATTATACTTTATTTTGTACAAACAAAAATATATTGCAAAGGAGAAAAACATTGGTCGCTATTTGCTACAATAAAATTGCGGAGAAGTAAAAAATATCATGCAATAAAAATAAAATAAAATGAATAGTAGAACTATCTATCAATAAATAGTTTACTTGTAAAAAAAAAGAGAGGAGTTGATTAATATTAATTATTTAAAAATAAATGTTTACATAATAAACATTAGATATATTAATTATGATATTTTGCATACATCAATATTTGTATTTATATTTAAATCGTTGGTATCAGATTTTTGGATAGTTGCATTAAATAAATAATTAATTATGACTCGAATCATATATCCAGTTGAACCACCTACAAGACTAATTGGTAGATTATAAAAATCTTGATACGATTCTGTTGAATTTGTTTGTTGTTGAAATAATTTAACAGCTTCATCAATTAAATAATTAACATCAAGTGTTTGAATAAATCGCAATTCAGGATTTCGTTTAAGTAAAACATTTATTGCTTCAAACATCTAAATAAATAATAAGATTTTTATTTTCAAAAAAAAAGTCTTTTATTTAACCTCAACAACAAGACAACGATATGCTGGATCAGCTACTCGACTAAGCATTTCTTCAATTTTTAATGAAAAATTCAATTCATAATCTGTCATATCGGATAATGTTGGTTGCTAAATAAGAAATAAAATCAAATATTTCTTTTTAAGTATTTTCTTAACTTACTTGTGGAAGTAAAATATTACATAATTTAATACCTCCTGGCGTTCGTTCAAGTATAGACCAAACATGTTCATAAAAATTCGTTGGTACACGTGATACAGCTCCATCCATTTGTCTCTTTTGAAATGCGGATCTAATCATTTATTAAAATAAATAAAGATTTATTTTATTAGAAATCTTACCGTTGTTCACTACTATCACCACCTTGTTGTGTTGATTGTTGTGAATCAGTTGATAAAACATAATCAAGTAATTGTTTAATACTATTTGGTGATAATATATTTAATGTCTATAAAAATAAAAGATAGAACTTTATAAAAAAATAAAAACAACATACTACTGTCTCATCAGGATCAGTTTTAAGATGTTCTAATTCAAGTTTGATTGCTTCAAGTATCCATCTATTTAATAAGAATAATAAATTTATTAAAGAAAAATTAAAATTTTCATACCCAAGTCGTATTTTTAGAATACCATTAAACAATTGCTAGAAAAGACAAAAATAAATTTCTATTTAAACTTTTTTGTTAATAATTACTGGATATGTATTCATAAATACTGCAATATTAATAAGTAATTCTTGTAGAAGAACAGCATGAAATATACTTCGACCAAATATATTTTCACTATAAAGTATTTTAAAAATTTCATTTGGACGCATCTAGAAAAGAACTATGATCGATAGAAATAATACAGATATTTATTAATGTACCGGTTTATCAATAACTGTTTCTTCATGACCAAATATTCCCATAGTAACCTAAGGATAGATGAACGATTACAATATTATATAGATATTTAAATAATGATAATACGAACTATTTTGCCTCGTACAAGTAAATTAGTAACAGCTGGAGCTAAACTATCAACCATTTTATGTAAAAGACTAGATACAAAACGAAGAACAGCCCTGAAATAGAAATATTGAAAAGAAAATATTTTGTATTGAGTTTTTTATTCATTTGATTATACCAATTCTGATATGTTCCTGCTTCTTTCATTAAATGTTCTAAATGATTTCTTACACGATAATTTTCTTTGATCATCCAATCGAGACCACCATTTTTATATAATTCATATGTAGCTAATGTATGATCTTTTAATGAAACTATTGATATATCTGTATCACAAATATAATCACGTAATTCCGATTGAGAGAATGTTTTAAATTTCTAAAGAATTCATTACGAAAAATCAATGTAATAAAAATGAATATATTCATACATTATTATTATAATCAATATCTTCACTAAGAACGGGTGTTTTCGCAACATCTGTCAATGATTTATAATGTCCAGTATCATTTGTATTTCTATATTCAGCTACAGCAACTGATTCCCAATCACTAGGTGGACATATTGAAGTATTTAAAAAGTCTAGATGTTCTATACAAGCACTTGATATAGCAGTCTGAAAGAAAATTATTTAATTAATCGATATTATTCTATAGATAAATCTGTACCTGTAAACGTTCAAGTCGTACACATATACTTGACGAAATTTTGCCTTGACGAATTTGTGTTAATAATTCTAGAAGTTCTGATTTTTGTGGGCCGCTAAAAACGAATATTCATATACACAAAATATTCATAGACGAAAAATCTCCTACCGAAGATGACGTTCACGTAACATTATTACATAAATTGGTCGACCTTTTAAACGCCAACATTTTGTAATAAATTCTAAATCACTCTAGACAAAAATTCAACAATGTATTATACATATGTTAAGATTCAAATGATCTGCTATATTTAACTCCGGGTCATCATTCGATTCTAAGTTCTGACTATGCGAACGATCTGATGAGTCGAAGAAAGACCTAACAGAATTCCAACTATAGCCGATTGAACAGAGATGGAACTGATCACAAGTCATTTTGATCTATGCGATCTATAGAAATACACTAAACCGCTTGAGAGTTTGACTTAGATATCGAAGGTTTCGACGATTAAGCTACACAGACCTATAAATCCAGACTATTTGAGTTCGGTGCATATCTAGCGATCTACTAAGAGTTATGCCTATTTTTAGTATCAACATACATATGCGCTCAAGGGAGAAAAAGCGGATCCTATAAAATTTTTGGATCGTCACAGATCCTCGTCAATCCTGAGGATCCAAGAGCCGCTTTTCCGCCCATGTACACGCTGATGTATTAAATTATGAAAGCTTGTTGTGTATAATAAATATACTTACTCGAATATTATCTAGTAATAAAGTCATATCACTTGACATATAAAAATCCGTTGTTTCAAATGTTAATGGATAACATAAAACTGTTTTTGAACTAATGCGATACACCTAAACGAAATAAAAGATTTTTTCCATCAATAAAACACAAATAACAATTATTTACTTTACATGTACCCAATACACCGAATGGTCGTTCAGGACGTCCAGTAAAACCAAGTTTTTTATTAGCACCTAAATTAGCATATGCCTAAAAATAATTAATTGCAAAAAAAATATATATATACAATATCAATAACATACTTTAACTAATTCTGCTGGTGGTAGTATTAAAAGTGGTTCGATTTGTTTTGGTGTTTGAGTTTGAATACCATATGTTGCTAATACTTGTTGTAAACGAACTGATTCAGATATAGCAACAATATGAATGACTAGATCAGAAAACGTAACCTAATTAAACAGATATTGATTCATTTTATTATTATATTATTTAAATAATTAAGAAACATTTTACATTTGATATTATTGATCCTTTTGTTTGTTTTTTAGAATCATATGATTGATTTGATATTGTTTTAGGTATATTTAATGAATATTGATAACGTGATGAATCCTATTCAGAATTTAAATTAAAATAACGACTATTTGTAAAAAAAGAACGCAAGTATACTTGTATAGATGAATATCTCGAGTTTTGTTTTGGTCGATCACATGGAGGTAAATAACGTCGAATTGGATCAAGATCACTTATTGTTAAAATTTTATCATCTTAAAAATTAAATTTTTTAGTCTATAAAATAAATGAAAATATATAATTTTACTAAGTAATTGACATATGATCCAAATTGATTGACCAAAAAGGAAATATTTTCCATATAGAACTTCTGCACTACAACTAAATGTTCGTTGTTGATCATTGTTTCGATTACTCGAATCACTTTGACTACTATTTTGTTGTTTTAAATGATCAACATAATAATAATGAACCATCATATCACCTTTTAGAAAAAGAAGAAATAATTTTCAATGAACAAAAATTTTTAACTAACATCAAAAACTAAAAACATGCGAGAAATATTTTATATGCAAATAAAGATACTAACTAATAGGAAAAGCAAGTCAAATATTCATTTAATTAGTACCTTTATTAATCATTCCTGTATTAGAGTAAGAAAATGGCGAGTAATTGTTATTGACTATTTGAATAGAAGAAGTTTTATAGAGAAGAGAAGAAAAGAAATTGATTAAATAATGTGATCATACGTGGTTTTGGTGAATTTAATTCTGAATTGTTTGAACGTGAACTCGCATGACAAGGTTTTTTTGGGGTCACTTTATTTTTATTTTATTTTTAAAAAACATTCTTTGATTATAAATTTTATATATTTTACCTTCAGTTGTTCGTCGTAAAAGTGGATTTAATGCAGTAAGATATTCATCAACTTGAGCTGAATTATTTTTGAAAATACCTAAAATGATATATTTATATATCAACATTATTTCAAAATCTCGTTTTGTATTTTCAACGAAATACAATCAACTTTGACTAATTCATGACTATTATCGAATGCTTATTTTTATCATATTCTTGAGGGTGTGGGTGTGAGGGTGCCGATGTGGATGCGATATAGCAACAAGACCGACATCCACCCACCCCTTGGCGAAATTCGGGATTCCCATCTTCTCAGGTAGATAAATCTGATTGTCGGATTTAGTCATTGTGAGTTATGAAAGATATGGCTGATCTTTTTCTCTTCAATTAAGTGTTACTCTACATATTATCTTTCGATTTTTCTTTACCATCGATTGCCATTAGTGCAAAAAACATGGGCCATTCGCATTCATTCTTATCAAATTTCTATATAGAAAAAAGTAAGTATTTAAATATTTTAATTAATTTAATTCGGACTTTAATTTCAGTTTCTTGATAAAATCGTTGATCTTCTGATTCTAGATCTGTATATTGACCATCACGTAGAAAACGTTTAAAACCATGTGTACCACGTAATTTTCTTATACATTTTCTTACTGTATTGTCTACAAGTGTTGCATCATGTACAGCAAATGTTGGCCAACCTACTGTTAGTAATAGAGCAGCATCGGTATTCTATAAAAATTAATAATTAATATACATATTCAATATAAAATTTAAAAATAAAGCTACTTTTGAAGCTGATTCTCGTGGAAGAAGTGTATCAAATGTAATTCGATTTCGATTATGAGCATCCTAGAATCGTATAGGTATACATGGAAGTCAAAATAAATTTTTTTGTATATATTTTCATTCATACCACATCAACATAAACAACAGACCAACTAGCTCCTCTCTCTCCATATAAATTAAAACCATTCATTGCTTCGAGTGCTGCTTTTGCCATACCAATTGAACTAGAAGTTACATTAAAAATAAGAATACGAAAAATATTTCCCCAATATATTTCGTACCTAGCATGAAGTTCACATGTATTTGTATTATATTTACTACCTCGTTCCCAAATACCATAATCAGGTGTACGATAAGCACGTTCAATTGAAAAAACAAGTTGTTGCACAAAATTAACTTCATCAATAGAAAAAATAATCTTAAAACGAAAAAATATATTTATGTAAAATTGTTCTCAATGTTTTATGTTTTCTATACTTCAAGATTTGATGTAATCATTTGTGCAAGTGTTAATAAATAAATAGAAATTGCACATATTTGTAATTGACCAACTTCATCTATTCCTTCAATTTCACTACCATCAATTACATTAAATTTCGAATGTAAAGCATCTTTTGGTGATTGTTCACCTTTAAATACTTCAAGCTAAATTTAAAGAAAAAATTAATTGAATTATTAATATTCCTCGTACTTTATTTGATTGTTTCATCCAACAAATAAGAATTCCACGCATACATTTAACAGCTGCTTGTCCTAATTCATGTGCTCGTCCTTGATCATTATCAATTTTACAATAACATTGTCGTAATGACCATACTGCAGTAGCACAAAAAACATTTTCAACAACATTTGCAATATGTTTCTCTTGACCAAGATGATTTAAGAATAGACCAGTTGTTAAACTTTGAAAAGCAAGAATTTGACGTTTGATTGTACGATAATACATATCTAATTTTTTTAATATTAATGTACGTGAATCAGAGTAATTTTCTGATTCATCATCAACATTCCAAACTTTCTAAAAAGAGAAAAAACATACAGATCAAAAGTTTTCGTTACATTTTGTTTTGTACCTTAGAATCAGACCATGATGAACGACGACTACGATTTGAACCACTGATACTCTGATTGCCAATATTTAAATAAGCCATAGATGCTAATCGTTGCTTCATAGATGTATTTTCATTCATCATATATTATTTCATATCTATAATTTATTAGAAAAAAAAACTAAGGATTTGTTTTGTTATCCAACTATCGATCATGTGAATAAAATTTTATCTAGTCATCAAAACTGTTGAATAATGAATATATGCCAGGCATTCTTTAATGATGATATTTGTCAAACTTACATTATGTTTTATGTTCAAATCTGAATCCGATAGCTATTTTCTCAATCACCATGCTCGTCTTTTCTTTTATGTGATTGTATTGTGTTACGTATCAAATCATACTTGACTCTCATTTACAATTAAAACTCGTTGAGTTCATATTCTGGTATGATTAACAATTTACTGTCGCACTCAATATATATATGATATCCCCATTACTATTGTTTCTCAAGTGTACTCACGAAGACACTAGATTATCAATCGATAAAATGTATATAAACACAAAAAAATAGATTATTATCTAGAAAATAACTAATTTTTATTCACATAGTAAATTAAGAAAAAAATTTCATTGATTTTTATTGACAAAGCAAAGAAAAGAATGTAACATATTCAATTAAAAATGAGTAAAAAAAGAATAAGTGTAATAGTCAAGTATGAATTGTCATATCAATCGGAATCAGAATCAAGTGCAGCACGTCGTCGATCAAACTAAAATTTATAAGAATTAATTATAGAATATATTCTCAATAAGTCTATAGACTTACATTAACTTTTGTTGTTTTTTCGGTTACTTTGCTCACTTGTTCTAAAAGTCCTTTCAATTGTTCTTCGCTAACCTAAGAAATTTATTTATTTATAATTTTAGTCTTGTTTTTTTTTAAATATCTCACTTTTCCGCCACCGAAAGCACCACGTCGAGCATTTTGGATAAGAATATCTTCAATCATTCGTCCTTTTTCTGGTTTAGTTAATGCAATTGTATTTAAACGTGCACGTGCTTCTTGTGTTAATAATGAACTTAACATTGTATTACGCATATCTTCTTGTTGTTGTCGTTGTTCTTCTCCTGTATTTCTATCATTCTGATTACCACCACCTTGTTGTTGTTGTAATTCAGCTAAACGTTTAGCACGAAGTGCATCAAGTTCCGAATCAGTCATGATCTAAAAATAAAACAATTTTTTTATTCTTTATGAAAGTACCTAGCTCTTTTATTTATTCTCAATATTTGTCGTACGCATCATTATTTAATAAGATATATGAAACGAAGTATTTGGTGTAAGCTTAATTAATTTAGTAGAACCTGACTTTTCACCTGATATCTTTCCTATTATCATATCGTTTAGCTATTTCAGTAGTTTGTCAATGCAATAATATATTCTGAATCTACTGCGTTTATTTGCAAATTGGTAAAAATAATTTTTTTAATAGTTATTCGTAATAATAATTATCCAATTTATTTTCTATTGTTTTTTATAACCAACAAGTTTTATATTGTCCCACTTATTTTCGATAAAGAAGAAGATTCACACAAGACTATTGATTTTTGCTATGTTTATTCGTAGTTGTTTTAAGTATTTCATCGTAATAGTTTATCATATGAATAAGACAATTTAATGAAGTCTACCTTAAGATTTTTTTAAATACGATTGTCAATAATTATGAATACCATGATTATAATCAAGAGATAGAAACAAATGTTTACAATTAGAGAATATTTTTCCAAAAGATCGCAAATACTTCTACAAAATAGTCGAACATCATCTAAATGGTTTTCGATAATAACCTTTTGTCACAATGTTCTATAGAGGGCGCTAGATATCAATATAGACGAAAAATTATGTGAGGTTTATGGCTATCCCTGGATCTCCAAAAATGTTTTACTACAACGAGACAATTCATTTCCTGTGTTAAGCATTCATTTGTTCCAATATAACAGGAACAAATAGAAGTATGCTATGTAAATTCTACAAAACAGAAAATATCGCAAAAAGGTCTGCACGACATCAAGAATTTTCAGAATATATATGTCGAAAAAAGAAAATTATGATTGTTATTTTGTTATATTTTCAATTTAAAGAACCGAGATGATCGATAGTACAATATATAATAGAAAGAAAATCTAATGTTTATATAGTTGAAAGAAATCCCGAGAGATATGATGATTATTAAACTGTAAATTCATCTTTCATCAGTATAATAATTATTATATGAGTAAAAAATTTGTCTAGTTCTAATCCAGATGTTCTTTATTGATATATAACATATTGCCAACAAATCAAAAGTTTATAAGTGTCGATCTAATCAGTCTGTAATCATATAGATCTATGAATGAATTTATTTGTCATTATCTGATTCTTTTCATTGATTTCCGAAGAATAATTACAAATTTTTAGACCATAAAATTCTCTTACATTAGTGTGTCCTAGTATTTTTTTTTCTTCAAAATAATACTATCAAATATAGATATTCGATAACTTTATTATTTTCGTCTAATTAGTTTTCTATCTGTTTATAATAAAAGTTTTTGTCTAGATATTTAATGACTAATTACTATGGTATTATTTGTTCAAGAATATTTTTAGTCAAACTAATAACATTCTTCTTATACTAGAGTCTATAAAAGAAGATCTGTCAATGAGAAATATTTTTTCCTTTAAAGCATATGAGTATTGTCACACCCGACGAACAACTCTTTCTTCTTTTCTTTTATTTATTTAGAAATACTATGCCTATGCGCACTGATGCTCGTTTGTTGCAATTGACAACGGCGGCGTTCCTACCAACATGCAATTCTCATGAGATATGCGGAACAAAAGGCGTTGAGCTCCTTGCTTTTCTATATTTTGTTCGTGAATAGTATATGCATGTCATCACATCACATCAATTGGAGCGAACAGTAACTATAGTTAACATTGAAACCCATAGAGAACTATTGAATGACGTTAGTTAGTTCTTGTTCAACGGCACACACACACATATATATATATATACAAAAGATCGACGGAAAAGCAGAAAAAAAAGGAGAAAATATTCGGGAAATCGGAAAAAGAAAAGAGAAAAAGAGAGAGAGAGAGAGGGAGGGAGGGAGAGAACACATACACACATATATACACACACAAATCATTATAGACGGTATCAAGTGTGTAGAAAAAATAGAAAATAGCATGATCAGATATCATTCCAACCGTAATGGTAAGCATTGTTATACAAATTTATTCGTTGCAAACAAGTATTTAATGATTTAATAAAGTTTTCATCATGTTATTCATATCTATAATTATTCTTATTGTATGTTTTAATCATAAGATCTATTGTTTATCTTGTTTTAAATGTATGACAACAAATTTTGAAAATGATACATGCTCTGATCCATTTAATCCAATTGATAATCATCTTGAAGCTGAATGTTTAGCAACATCAAATGGACGAAATGGTTTATTTCCAGCTCGATTTTGTGTTAAAATATCTGGTGTTATTGTTGATGTTGATCGACATGTTAATCGTTCATTATTAACTAAAAGTCTTTTTTTACGAACATGTATTATAGATAATATTATGGATTCAACTCGTTCATCTGATTCAACAGGAAATTTTCGTTTAAAAAATTTTAATCAAATCAAAGGCGTTCGAATGCAAGGTACAATAACTGTATGTTCACATGATGGTTGTAATCAAGCAAATTTATTTAAGATAAATTCAATTATAATCCTATTTTCTTTGCTTTTTCTAATAGTTTATTAATTAAAATAAATAATTTAGTCAGATAAGAAGGACAAAAAAAAATAAATGCTTATTTTTTATTAATGAAGACGAAATACCTTTCTCTTGTTCGTGTCTACACATTGGTAAAGGTAAAATATAACTAGGAAGAAAAGGAAGAAAAAAGAACACTTGGTTATTATTTTCATTTATAGCCTGTCTACATAAAAAAAAATATGTCTCTGACGTGTTATTATTTTGAAAAATCACGCACACATTTGTCACAAGGCATACATATACTATAAAACCTTGCATATAATGCTTCTTTTGCCTATAATTTGAATGTTTTTCGATAGTCGGTAGTTAGTAAGCTTTCTTTTACATAATGAATTCATCTGAAGTATCTCAGAATATTTGTTCTAATACATCAAATGTAATATATTCTGACCAATATCCAACAACTAGCATGAATCGAAAAAGAAATAAAGATAATCCAATTGGGGAAAAACAAGGTGGTCGTAAACGTGCAGCATTAAAACGACATAAACTTATTGAGCGAAATCGACGTATGGTATGGTCAAAACATATGAAAGAATTATCAGCATTAATTAAACAACAATATATTACAAAATCATCAAAAATTTCTCAAGTAAATTTACTAAAAATTGCTGGCGATTTATTAAATAATATTAATTTACGTTATGAAAATGAATCTGTATTACCATCATATTTAACTAAAGATGAAAATCATTTTTTAAATGTTGAAGTAAGTAATTCATTTTTATTTATGACAACTATGGAATCATCATTATATCGTATAATACATGTAACTGATTCTATTGATCGAGTACTTCATATAACATCGGAAAAATGGCTTGACCATGATCTACTTTCATTCATTCATTCAGATGATTTATCTCAAGTTCAAAACCAATTAATATCATTAACTAATGATACTACTCGAAAATTTTCTGTTAAATGTCGAATAAAACAAGGAAATGATTCATATTCATCCGTTATTATTAATGGTATGATAAAACAAGTTGATCAATTCTTAAAACCTGTATCAAAAAATGAACAAGGATATTCTGTTTTTATTGGTATCTGTTATTTACCTTTAATAAATGAATATAGTGAGAAAAATATGTGTCTTTACAAAAATCCACAATCATCGATATTCTCTTGTCGATGTTCACCAAATGATTGGAAAATTTTTCTTATTGACCACTCAAGAACAACGTTTCCATTGACATCAATGGATATATTTTACAATAAATCAATTCTGGATTTTATCTATATTGATGATCAGTTGTATTTTTATCAAACATTGTTAAAGGTAATTTCAGCATCAACACATGATTTAATACCATGTCGTTTTCTACATGCACCAATGCTAGTTGAAATAAAATCATTTATCAATCCAAGTAATCAACAAATTGATTTTATTGAATTAATATTTGAAAGTATAAACTCACTAAACAAGATAAGATTTTAATGTATCGAATCTATATTTTATAAATTATACATTTCAAAATATTTTTCTAATAAATTTTTGATAGTTTATTATTATTATAAAACTAAAAGCTTTTTTTTTCTCATTTATTAGAAAGTATAAATCAATCTGTGTAATAATGACAGAACACTTTTCTAGGAAAAAAAGGAACTCATGTTGAGCATGAAGCATATGGAAACTATTGAATTGTGTTCATTTCCTACTCATTTAATATGATCTATAGATATGGAAATATAGCAATTTCTTATTCATATACTTCCAAATGAATGATTAATAAGTTAATTTAATATATAAAAATGTTCTGAAAAACTAACGGAGTAAAAATTAACTTGACTGTCATTATAATACTTCTAACAATAAATAGTTTTTTTATATCACGTATTGATAATTCGAATTCATAAAGTATTCGGAAGTCATTACAAATGACAATGTCACTGTTGGAAAGTTCTAAAGATCGTAGCATGAATCGTAATTTTTTCCAGCAAAACACTTTGTTTAAGTTATTTATAATACTGCACTATCGATATTATTATCAAATAAGTTTTAAAATGGAATATGACAGTTTCTTCATTTCCGTATTAAATTCATACTCATAGACTATCAATTTTCATTTAAGAAAAACGTATATCCTATAGATGGAGTATATATCGCTATTCATTGGAGTATTTTCCTTCGAATAGTTTATTAATATTAGCTAGGTCATTTATTCATTCATTCAGACATTTATTTATTTATTTATTCATATTTTTTTCCTCATTTGTCTTTCATTCAGATTGATCAATATGTCGTCAAATACTCCGACTGTTGCCATAAATGAAATAGAAAAAGATGATCCATATGCACTTGGAATTGATAATGAAAATCGATGTTATAATGTATTTGATCTTAATATAAAATGTTCAACGGATGCATTAAAAACATTTCATCGATGTTCGGATGCTATTCTTGAACGTGATCCTGAATTATATAATATTTGGATTGATGATCATCGATTTTATTCACATGCTATTGTTGAAGTTATTGAAAATGAATTAAGTTCATTACATCATAAATGTCTATTTAGTAATCTTAAACCATTACAAGGTTTTCGATGGCTTGAAGGTTTATTACTTGTTATTGGAAGTTATTTTAAATATTTAAATGAATTAAATGATAGTGATCGTTTAGATGCTTTATTAAATTTATTCTATGCTGCTTGGATTACATTTTTTATACATAATCGTTACGCTATTTTAAATCTTAGTTGTCCATTACCACCACCAGATGCGAATAATAATAATAATGAATGTATCATAGTGGATAATCAAGAGAAAAAAGTAAACTATTTTTTATTTATTAGATAAGGAAATAAAATCAGTTCGGTAGAGATTAAATCAACTGTCTCGGAAAGAAAAAAATTGATTTGATTATGAGTATAATTTCTTTGATGGTTAAGTATAAATTATTAAAATAGGATCTTTATGAGAACAATTAATTAAGATTTCTATTTGTCTTTCATTCGAAATCTAATTAAAAAGTATAGTCTTATTTAATTATTGTTACGATAGTCATCTTAATCGTCTGTAGACGGGAGTAGGAATTTATTTATGCTATTTTTTCGGATATCAAATGAATCCCATATATAAACATATATATGAGTATTGACGAGATGGAGGATAAAATGTGTACATACTATTTACTCTATGTATAATAAATCATTAATGGAAAAACAGTTTTTCCATGATTTATTTTTCCAATACAAAACTGAATGAACGATACTGTCTGCTATTTAGTTTATATATACATATACATTATTCAATGTTGAAGTAAGCAATTATAGAAATACCATTATCGATATCCTTGGTGTTTATATACATGACACTCCAATAATAATAAGAGTACATGAATGAAAGCCTTATGCACTATGATACAAAGCAAAATAGATTTACGAAACAAAATCTAATAACTGTAGACCATAAAAGAATGATAATCGAAGCAAATCTATCCTCTGTTATTTTCGTTCGTGAAGGACAAATAAATGATATGACAATTGTAGGAGAGTTCAAAAAAACTTATTGCTGTTCTTTTTTTTGTTAAATATAGGTACCTAATGTCAGTAATGTACAAAAAACAGAAGAACAAATAGCGCGTCATCTTGATAAACATTTACCAAATTTTGATCGAATACTTTATGAAGTTATTGAACTTGGCCATCAACTATCATCGAAACGTTTACCAAATCTTGAAAAATTTGAAGAATTTTATCAATTATGGAAAAATCCTTCAGCTTATAAAAGAAAATCATCGGGAGATTTTAGCTTAATTATTGAACGTATAACAGGTGATATAGATGTAACATTGAATTCAGAAGAAATAAATTATTCTCCAACAAAATCAATAAATTGGAAAATGGTTTTTTATGATGAATTTATTCGTTATGCAGATCGATTTTATGTAACAAAAAAAATATCTTCTAGTAAACGACGTACAATAGGTGGTGAACGATTTTCTATAAATAAATGGTCATCGAACAAAATAAACTATTTTCAAACTAAAAATATATTTAAAAGAAGTTCTAATAGCGACTATGAAAAACAAATCGAACAATTATATCAATAAATGGTCCCCGTAATATTTTCATTTTCTGTTTTCTTTTTTTTGTCAGATGTTACTTTGTATATTTAGTTCTTTTTGTTGTCTTTTTGCCAGATAATTGTTGTTGTTGATCTTTTGAAATAGTATTATCTTATACCTATATCTCAATAAAAACAAGATTAACTATTATATTTTTGTTTTATTCATAGCGAACATCTTAGGATCGAGGGAGAGCAGAATATTCAACCGAGATTCAAGTTTGTGGAGGAGATGAACACTCACGACTAGAGATGTGCGGGACCAACCTTTTTAGGTCCCGGTCCAGGTTGTAGTCCCTGTAAATTGTTTTTATTTGGTCCCAGTCCCGACCCTGCTAAATTTTTTTCGGTCCCGGCGCTAGTTCAGGTACAGCTTTTCTTTTGGTCCCGGTTCTGCCTTCGGTCTTGGTAAAATTTAATTTTCCAGTCCCGGGACCGGGGCTGTGATCAATTCTGATCCCGCTGATCTCTAATATCGTTCTAGAGACATTTAATCTAAAATTATTCATAAAATCTCTAAAACAAGTCTTCAATACTCGATTTTCAATTTGTTTAGTCGACGATTAGCACTTTTTGGTTCATTTTTCTTGAATAAAGTCATCATAGTTAAGGTCATTATATAGCCCCAGGTTCAAGTGTAGGTCCCGGTCCCGGTCGATTTTTTGTTGGTCCCGGTTTCAGTCCCAGTCAAGTTTTTTATCGGTCCCCGCACATCTCTACTCACGAAAGCCCTGCATAGATAGTTCAGGCCGGAATATTGAAACTAAGTTGATTTCTTTTCCTTCTAGATGGATTTTGCATGTGAATTAAATATTCCATTATTAACAACACGTCATGCTGAAATTGTTTACAATACTGTTCGTATTGATAGAGAACCGAAGAAAAATGTTCAACGTATTGAAAAATTAAATAATAATGTTCTTAATGTTCGATTTGAAGCTGAAGAAGCCAAATTTATTCGTGTAGCTGTTGAAAGTTATCTTGAAAAGATTAATTCAATACTTCGTACAATTCAACGTTTTGATCCAAATCTTTGACATTTGATTCCTTCTTGTTTTTTTTTCTTTTTTTTTTGTTAAAATTCATATATATGTATTTTTAGATGAAAACATTCATTTTATTTCTTATTTTTTCTTTATCATATGCTTATAATCATGAAAATTTCAAACAAATTAACAGTAAAGAACAATTAAATGATTTTATTCATTCATCTACATTAAATGTTGTTGTTTTTGGTAAATAGAAGAGCGACTATCATAAAAATAATAAATTTCTTATTTCTATAGTCGATAAACAATCATGCAATGATGATAAATGTCGTCAAGAACGTACTGAATTAGAACAAATTCGTGATCTATGCACCGGTGAAAATATTCAATTTGCTCTTTCAACTAATTCTGAACTTGCTGAAAAACAATTTAATATTTATGGTTCATCACCAAAACTCTGCTTTTTTAGAGATGGATTTCCAATTATTTATTCAGGTAATTTATATACACACTTAATTTTCTTTTCGATTACATTCTCATCTGCCGTTAGCTTGAATGTCTTATATAGATGTTTAATAAGAATATTAATTGAATAGGAAATTTACTTGCATCTGCTAATTATTACTTGTCTATTGAATAAAGATGTCAATTCATTACACGATATGTCGACAACAACGTATCATTATGTTAGTTGACATATATATCCCATTGCGCACCCTTAAATGTCAGAGTGCGCTTTAAAACTAACTGTATATTAGTAGCATAACTAGTAAATCGTGGGTGCTCGAGCAAAGACTAGCGATGACCTGGCAATACCTAAAATAGTTTTCGAAAATCATAAAGCTTTTTTTTATTTTAGATTCATTATCGAATGTTGATAGTATTCATGAATGGTTTGGTGAAGTACGACAACGATTAACACATACTTTAGATGACAAAACATTTGAACATGATACACAAGCATCAACTGGTTCAACTACAGGTGATTGGTTTATTCTATTGTATGTACACAAAATAATAATAATCTATATCAATAATCTTATAAGTTCTTTTATTTTAGTAAGAAAAGTAATGAATCGCATAGTTTACTTCCTGTTTGGGAAGCTACATCTCTACAGTAAATACTTTAATAACAAAAACTTGTTCTATTTCTGTTTTTTTTGTTTAAAAAGTTTTCGAAATCGAGCAATTCTCGCCTATGTTAATATTGATACAAATCCAAATATACAAAAACGATTTCATATATTTAATTACCCGACATTTATATTGTAAGTTTAAATTTAAAGTTCAAAAAAGACACTATATTGATTTAATATTAGATTCAAACGTGGTAAAATGTATCGATATGAAAGTACATCTTGGAAACAATCTGCATTTACGGAATTTCTTGAAAGTGATTATCAAAAAGTAAAAGCGGAAATTATTCCGCCTGAACCAAGTGCTTTGTAAGTCTTACTTATATTATATTTTCTTCTAAATATGAATCTTGTTTTAGTTCGTCTTCGTTTGGAACTGCAGCTAAAATAATTCCGGTAAGTTATACTTGACAATATTTATTCTAGAATTTAAATTCTGTCTCGTTAATAGATGTATTTAATAGTAATACCAATGATATGCCTCGTTGCTGTTCTTCTTGTTCTCGTTTTTATGAGTCGTTTTACGAAAAAAAAGCAAACAACTACTGAACGAACACCATTTCAAGTGAAAATCGATTAAATTTTAGTGTTATTGTTTTTTTCCATTATTTTAATTTTCCAAAGAAAAAACAAAATCTCATATTTAATCAAAATCAGTTATAAAATCACTATAAATTGATCTTTCAGGATTATCGACATAATGTGATACACCATATTGATCATCAGGTTTTCTACGATAAGCTTCCGATCGACTGAATAATGCATATGACATAAATATCCAACCGGATATACTTAAACATGATAGAATAATAATTGTTATTATTGTACTTGAAGATGATGTATCATAAATTTCATTTGTTGAATTTAAATCCGAATGACTTGTTGTTGTTGATGTTAATAAAAGAGAATCATTAATAATAATCATTCCATATAAAAATAATAATTATTGAAGAATTATCATAATTATTATTACATACGCGTATCTAAGTTCATAGTTGCTTCTACAAATAGAAAAATAGATACATGTATAAACAACAAGTGTTAGGAATATATGACTTCTAGCAGGAATGATATACATGTATATATATATGATAAATGAGCGACCTTTCAAGCGATAAGATGTTGAAATGGAAGATAACAATGTCTTATAAATAGAGATACTCATTCAGTTTTATTCATGTAAGTCAAATAAATGTCATCATCGATCAATTAGACAAATTATTAAGTACCTATTAACGAAAAATAAGTCTTGAGAAAAGATTTATTATAGAAATCGTGATGCATTATTAATACAAGAGAATAGCTTTTACATGTTTTGTGAACACGTAATAAGGTCATCAGATCATTCTATCGCCTACGGGTTGACTAGATAATAAATTGAATGTCAATCAGTTAGATCAAAGCAGAAATTGATTTATGATATCCATACTCTTTCGAATAAATCATTTCTTAGCACATATTTTCTTCTACTACAACAATAGTAGATTTATAATTTTTATGACATGTCGATAAAATACAAAAATATTTTGCAATACTAGAAAATCTTAGTTTGAAAATTAATGTTAATTACTTATGTATTGTCATTAGAATCAAGATTTGTACTTGATATGACATGAATAGGATTGAAACAACAGATCGAATATCCTTTATATATAAAATTTACATAACAACAAAAAAAACGTAGAGTATTAATTCAGTGGGTATTTATGAACAATGTGTAGGTAACGGTTATGGAACTTTTCCATGTAATCCTGGTTTAATATGTTTTCGACGTAGTAAATGATTTTCATCATGTCAATATAGTTGTCCGAAAAATCTTGGTTGGGAATGTGAAGCTTATATTGCACTATTAACAACAATTTTAGCTGGATGGGATCAATGTGGAGGTGAAGGGTGGTTAGGTTCAAATATTTGTCCAATTGGTTATACCTGTTATGCACGAAGTATTTACTATTCTCAAGTACGTAAATACCCTAAAACGATATTTTTACTAATTTCATATTCATCTTTTAATTTATTGCACTGAGCGTTCTTTTTCAAATATGTATAGGCTGGACATATGCTTCCCTAGTAGTACCTGTAACAATGTTGGTAATGCAATTTGTCCATTTGGATATGGTTGTTTTAAAAATAGTGATCTCTATTCGGAGAGTCGTCCGTATTGTCCACCTACATGGCTCTGTGAAACAGATGTTGTTGAATTAAATGAACAATGTGGAGGTATGATTCATAAAAAAAAATTAATATTTTTTTGCTTTTATATTTCTAGGTGAAGACTATGTCGGTGTAACACGTTCTGCACCAGGTCTTGGGTGTTATGCGCGTAGCAAATGGTGTTCACACTGTGCAACTTCATGTCCAGGTCACACGACTGGATATGCTAAAGTGCAAAATAAAATTACGCATACATTTTTTGTTTGTTTAATAAAAACAAAGAACGCAAAATGAATCGTATAGAATGTCTTTGAGATCTATGACATTTTCTTTTTGTTAAAATGTATCACGGCATACAGTCGTCAAATAAAAAAAACAAGACACTTTTACTTTCTTCTCGACAATCGAGGAAAAAATCCAACTGCGTCATGTCTCGCGGAAAGTTTAAATAGACAGTGTTGTTTCATTCCTTTCGCAGAACAACTCAGTGTATTTATACAGAACAACATCGTCTATTCTCTCATCATAATACAAAATCATAGCATTAAGATGGCATCATCCAAATCACATAGATTAGTTGAAAATGATGAAAATAATCGATTTTATGGTCATCATATTGTCTGGCTTGATAAAAACTTAGATACTCAAGATAATCGAAAAACTCTAGAGATGTTACATTCCTTTGATGAAGATTTGAAATCTTTTAAATCTCGAGACAAATGTATTAATTATATTGAACAACAAAATGATCGAAATACAGATTCTTATATTATATTTATTATTTCTGGTTCACTTAGTGAAAAAATTATACCACAAATAGAAGGTTATGATTGTATTCTTACTATATATATATTTTGTGGAACTATTGACAATTACAAACATTTGAAATATGAAAAACTTCGAGCAATTTGTGATGATACAAATGTTTTAAGTGATAAAATTGCAAGATATATAAGAAAAGTTAATGACGAAACTAATTTCAGTCTATTTCCAAATCAAGATTCAACACGTTCAAGTAAGTTAATATTTTAAATATATAAAAATAACTAATAATGTCTGCTTTAATATTATTTAGGTACAGTAACATCAAAAAGTAATTCTAAAGATCAACATTCAATTCGAAATTTAAAAGAAGATCAAGCATGTTTTCTTTGGTTTTATCATTGTCATAATTTTATGATTGAACTTGAAAATGATGATAATGAACGAGCTAAACAAGAAATGATTGCTCATTGTAAACAAGAAACTCAAAATCGTAAAGCAAAATCTGGTATCAATCAATTTAGTCGAGAATCATTAGAACAAAATGCAACTGATGCTATCCATTGGTATACAAGAGAATCATTTATATATGAATGTACAAATAAAATGTTGAGAAGAGAGAATATTTCGCAAATTTATTCATATCGTTATATTATTAAACTACTTTGTCGAAAATTAAAAGAACTACACAAACAATTTATTCATGAGTACAAAAAGGTTGGTGAACAAAGTTCACTTCAAGTCTATCGTGGTGTATCCTTGCCAACGTCAGATATTCTTCTTCTTAATCGAAATGTTAATAATCTCATATCATTTAATGGATTTATGTCAACAACACGACATAAACATGTTGCAAAAACTTTTATTAAGAAGCGATCTTGTCATGAAGGTTATGAACCTGTTTTTATTGAAATCGATATTGATATGACAAAAGAACATGATATACCATTTGCTGATATTGATAAATTCAGTGAACATCCTGAAGAATTAGAAGTTCTTTTCTCTATTGGTGCTGTTTTTCGTGTTAAATCAGTCGAATTTAATGAGAAAAAGAAATTCTATGTAGTTCATCTTTCATTAGATCAACATGATCAATTAAATGTTAACAAATATATGCAACATACCTATGCAAAACATGTCGATACTAATGATCGATCGGTATTATTTGGTAAATTACTATGTGATATGGGAGAATATGAATCAGCTATTAAATATTTCTCAGATTTACTTGATAATTCATCGAATCTTAAAAATGATAGTCGAGCAGTTTATCTAAATAATATTGGTGTATGTTATAATGAAATGAAAAATACAGCTCAAGCATTAAAATACTATATAGAAGCATGTAAAATTTATGAACAAACAAATAATGAACGTGGTATAAGTACATGTCAACACAATGTAAGTTATTTTATTTTTAAAAACTATTTTTATTTCATGTCTTTTTTGTTATTGTAGATTGCAAGTATTTATCATTCTCAAGGAGATAATGAAAAAGCTTTTCAATTGGCTTTGGATGCGTTAGATTTTCGACAAAGTGATAAAATAGATAAAGCTTCAACTCTTAATCTTCTTGGTTGTATTCGATTAGCTTTACGTGAAAATGAAGCTGCATTGAATAATTTTCAAGAATCTTTACAATTACGTTTAAAATACTTAGGTAAAATTAATCCTTATCATCCTGATATTGGTGTTAGTCATCAAAATCTTGGTAGAATTCATTTCCAACAATTTAACTATATCAATGCTGAAACAAATTTTCTACGTGCTGCAGAAATTTTTCGTCATAATTTTCCAATATTACATCCATTTATAATAGGAATCAATCAATGTTTAGAACAAACTCGACAACAATTGACATAATAATCCGAATAATTTTTGTTATATTTTTTTATGAATATATTAGCATAATAAATATGTAGTTGTTGATTGAACTTTTGAAATGACTTCATATGTAGAGTTTAATCGGTAATTCAATCGGCGAAATTATAGGAGAGATGTTGGAGGGAGTACAGTGGAATTTCGCCAATTGGGGAAAGTATGATGAAGTTTCGCCCCTGATGAAAATACTATTTGATCAAATTCGATTCCAAAAATTAGTAACTAGTAGAATTTATTTATTATAAGATTACTTAAAAAATAGAATTAAGGTAAATACCCTAGCACTTTACAATCAACTATCAATAGTGTTGAAATTTATCGTATTTCAGGGTTTTCATACGATTTTATATTGAAATATTTTTACTGAGATATTATTTTTCATAGAAACGAATTATTAATATCTTTGATTTCTAAAATACTGAGGAGAAAAAAAACACTTAGTGGTTAGTTACATTATAATCAATGTTTTTTCATATACAAAAGAACAAAAAAATTCTACTGTCTTGCATTTTCTTGCAGTAAGTTTTGTCTACTATAATCGTAAAAAATGCTTTTCATTGGTGCTTTTGCAAATGTAAAGGTAAAAGAGGTTGTTTGCTTTCATCGATTATTTAAAAGTTTTTTTTCTCTTCCTTTTTGATGTAAAACAACAACATCAGGTTAACCAAGATGGCATCAAATGTAATACAAAACTCGTCTACAAATAATCAAGATAATCAAACATGCTATTATCATATTATTTGGCTTGATAAATATCTAAAAAATTTTAGTAATACACTAAAACTGAAACAATTAAGTCAATTTGATTCAAAGATAAAATCATTTATATGTGAAAATGAATGTATTGAATATATTCGAGAACAAAATACAAATACTCATATTATATTTATTATTTCAGGTTCACTTAGTGAACAAATTATACCAAAAATACAAGATTATAATTGTATTCTAACTATACTAATTTTTTGTACCGATATTGACAGATACAATCATTTGAAATTTAAAAAGCTTCAAGCAATTTGTGATGATACGTATGATTTAATGGATAGTATTGAAATTTATATGACAAAAAATAATGATAGAGAGATACATTTTAGTTTACTCAATCAACAAGAATCTGCAGATTCAGGTAACTGAATTATTTCAAACGTAAATATAGCATAGAGTATTGATTATTTCTATTGTATAGAATCAACATTAATAAAAACTCAACATCCAATTCGAAATTTAAAAGAAGATCAAGCACGTTTTCTTTGGTTTTATCATTGTCATAATTTTATGATTGAACTTAAAAATAATGATAATGAACGAGCTAAAAAAGAGATGATTGCTCATTGTAGGCGAGAATCTCAAGATGAACGAACATTATCTCGTATTGATGATTTTGAAAGAGAATCATTGGAAGAAAATGCAAAACATGCTATTGAATGGTATACAAAAAATTCATTTATATTTCGATCGATCAATACAGTTTTTCGAAGAGAAAAAATTTCAAATGTTTATAATTTTCGTTATATGATTAAATTACTTTGTCAACAATTGAAAGATCAACATAAAAAATTTATTGGAAATTCTAAAGAATCAAAATCAAAATCAAAAAATTCAATCTGTCTTTATCGTGGTCAACAATTGCAACTAAAAGATATTAATCTTTTGAAGGATCATGAAAATGATCTTATTTCAATGAATGGTTTTGTATCGACAACATTAGATAAACATATTGCATTGAAATTTGCTTTTCAATATGAAAGACAAGATTTTGAACATGTTTTATTTAAAATTGATGTTGATATAAATGATGAATTTAATGTAATATTTGCAGATATTAGAGATCTTAGTAAATATCCTGAAGAAGAAGAAATTCTTTTTTCCATTGGAACAATATTTCGTATAAAATCAGTTAAATTTAATAACGAAAAACAGTTGTATATAGTTTGTCTCAAATTAACTCATCGTAATGAATTAGATGCTATTAAATATATTGAACAAACATATTTAAACGATATGAATTCATCTGATCAATCAGTTCTTTTTGGCAAACTTCTTTTCGATATAGGAGAATATGAATTCGCAATAAAATATTTCACAGATACACTGAATCATTTGGTAAATAACGATCATAATTTACGAGCAACTTATTTAAATAATCTTGGTGTATGCTACAATGAATTAGAAAATGCCGAGGAAGCATTAAAATGTTATCAAGACGCATGTATAATATACAGAGATACAAATAATCATCATGGATTAGGAACATGTCATCATAATGTAAGTTATTAGCATGAAAATTGTTTTTTTTTTTACCTTTCTTTTGTATCGTAGATAGCGAGTATTTATCATGCTATAGGAAGATATAATGACGCTTGTGGTGAAGCTTTGGAAGCTTTAGATTATCGAAAAGAAAACAATTTACAAAAAGCTTCAACATTGGATCTTCTTGGATGTATCTATTTAAAGCGTAATGATCCTGACGCTGCAGAAGATTATTTCAAAAAAGCTTTAAAGATACGTTTAAAATATTTAAATCAAATTAATCCAAATCATCCTGATATTGGTATAAGTTATCAAAATCTTGGTGGACTTTATAAGAAAGCATTCCCGCGTAAAAATCCTCACGCATATTATTCAAAAGCTGCTGAAATTTTTCGTCATAATTATCCTAAATCACATCCACTAGTAAAAAACATAAATAAATACTTGAGAGAAACCGAGCAATTACCATGATATAGATATATATATTTATCATATGTTAATTTTTTAAAAAAAAACAGATGATATGTTGTTGTATAGAATAAAATAATTATATGCATAATATAAATAAAATAATACTAAGTTATTAGAGGGTGGGTAGTGTGGGTGTGTCTATAGTAAATACGCTGTCCCCATAGCCACACGGACACCCACCCACATTCAAAACTACTAATAAGAATCTTTTAATTTAATGTAACAACTTGTTATAGATCATAATTTATCTTTACTTGAATACATATAATATAGAGAAAAAAAAACAATAACTTAAAAAGTATTATGCATCTTTCGACATTCAAATAACATATTTTCTTCATCGTCATTTTCAGTACGAGTCAAAATAAAATGTTTTGAACCAAAAAAACAAATATTTGTTGGTAAGAGATTACTACATTTGATTTCACGCATTCGTCGTTGTGTATCACTTTCTTGAGCATTGATAACCAACATTCGTCGTTGACTAGATTCATTTTGTTCATCAATAACAAATAAAACCCATTGTTTCGTATCTTTTAACAAAAAAAAAGTTTATCAATTAAATTCTATTTTAGACTAATTTCTTCTTCCCAATCTCAATTTATTTCTGACTTCAGGCGAACATGTTCCTGCGAGGAATTATACTGCTAAAATTTGATGTCAATCTGATAGGTACAGTTTATAAATAACAGTTATATTTACCGTAAATTGGTGACATCGATAGAATACTACAATGTTTCGTATCAATTCGAAAGAGACATTTCATAGCATGAAGAATATCACAAACAAGAATTTTATCTGTAAATAAAGCATCAATAGCAACTAAATGACTACTCATACGAATACGAAATATTTCCATAATATCTTTCATATTTGATTCATTTGGATATAAATCTGATTTCCAACAACGTTGTATCATTTGATTATTTGAATAATGTTCGATAACATCACCTAATGATGTCCCCAGATTATGAACAAGAAGAATTGATTCACCACCAGCACATATATCCTTAAAAAAACCGAAACCAATATCAATATAACGTGCAATACGTTTTGTTGTACAATTAAGTTTAAGTAATTGTTTCGATGTAGCAAGTAGAAATCCATTAACATACGATGACCATGTAATTTGATTAAGATCACCATAATGTGTATGATCATAATTAATATCACTTAAATGTTGACCATTGTTATCATATAATTCAAATATAGAACGAGATAATTTATAAATAATTAAATATTGTGATGAAGTAGCAAATAAAGTTGTATCATTTGGATCATAATCAAGTGAAAAAATAACTTCTGATGTTGATAAAAATCGATCTAAATCAGGCTGAACTTTATTTTGTAAATCAGAAAAACCGGATGAATTTAAATTCGGTTTCATTAAACGAATCGTTGGATTTGTTTTTGAAATAATTAATTCTACACAAGATGATTCAAGTGTATGTAAAGATTGTTCTAAATTTATTAATATCTATTTAAAATAAAAATGAATATCTATATATTCTAATTAAATTCTAGACAAACTTCTTTTAAATTCATTTCTTCATTATCAATATTATTTAAAATCGTTTCTTTTATTCCATGAAATTCTTGATCACATTGTTCATAAGTCACATCAATTTCATTTTTTATCTTTTCAACATTTTCATTCATACTTGTTTTCCATTCATTTAATTGTTGAAATAATTCATAACGATTATCACGAAATTCAATTGTTTTTAAACGTGTTCGATAATTTTCAATAGTAGTTATCAAACGTTTATGTTCATTATCAATAGCAGTTTGATGTTCAACAAGATGATGTAAACAAAATGTTAACGAACAATGAGCACATGGAATAGAACTAGGTGATTCAACACAATGTGCATAAGAACAAATCGATTCAACAGACGGACGAAAACGTTTTAAATTCGACATCTAGAAAAACAAAAATAACGTAGCAAAAGACAGTGTCGTAATTTATGCCAAGCACACTTATCTGTTTTCGTCCAAATAACATCACTCCTTTTCTTAATGCAATATGTTCTCCTAAGATTTGTATTGAATATATAAAGACCCTAGTTTGTTATGTCTGGAATTTCAGGAACTCAACTGAATTACAATGGTACCATTCAGTCTTCCAATGATGCTTTCTATCCGTTTCTGATGAATGTAAGATTTTCGTTTTTACTGCTATCTAAAGTTCATTGAGTTCAACGTAGAATGTTATCATTTCGATTCTATTTGTACTTGAAAATATATCGTTAGATCATCTTTTGAAAAATTTATATTATTATATAACAGAACAAATTCTAAACGGAGTTTCTTAATCATAAATATTCGTATCTTTCTCATTAGATAAAAAAATCAAAAAAAAATGATTTATATATGATCAACGGATCAAGTTGTTTTTTATTCGTCGTTCATCAATATTTTCTTATGATTTATTTTTTCTTTTTTTTTATGCGTTCGCTTATTCCAAAACAAAAAAGCGTACAACAGAAAAACAAGTAATGCCACACGTTTAACGGTACGATTTTTGATATTTGGAACGTGCACCTGGACCACCGAATTTTTTTGGTTCACATCGACGTGGATCAGCAACGAGTAATGTACGATCATATTGTACGAGTATATCCCGTATTTGTTTTTTTGTTGCTTCATCGACAAATTTTTGATTGTAAGCAACAATTGATTTAGCTAATGCTTGTCGAATGGCGTAAATTTGTGCAATACGACCACCACCTTTAACTCGTATACGAACATCAACACTAGCAAATTTGTCACGACCAAGAAGATAGATTGGTTCTTCAAGTTTAAAACGAAGTGCTTGTGGTTCGACAAGATGAAGTGGTCGACCATTAACACGGATTGAACCGTGACCTTTAAATTAAGAATAAATTTTAAATCGATTAAATAATAGATTTTTTGTTTTACCTTGTTGACAGACAGCAACGGCTGTGGCTGTTTTCTTTCTACCAAATGTTTGCACACGTTGTTTTTGTACTTTCGACATGATTTTTATGTTCAAAAAATCTAAAATGATATTATTAATTAGATATATAAGCACAAAAAATCGTTTAGAAAAAGAACTTCTATCGATGTTTATAAAATATGAATGAAATAAACAATAATTTTTTTATGATGACTCATTTATTTCAATAGATTGGTTATTGGATTTAATTTTTAATTTTATCTATTTTATTACGAAAAAAACAAAATTTATTTGATTAAATATAAAATGTATTGATATTTTTTATTTATTTTATTGAAATCATTGGATAATATCTAACGACATCTTTTACTAGGCCATCGATTAGTCAATATTCTTTCGAAAGTAAAAATTACATTTGATTCATTTCATTTCATTTAGAGAAATTTTTGTTCAATATATAATCATGCTAAATATATCACCGAACAGTAGCTTTGTACGTGATACATCAGGTATAATAACAGATCGTTTGAAAATTTTACTCAATCAAATATCTCAACGTCAATTAATTAATCGAGATAAACAAGTTACACAAAAACGAATATTATTTAGTGTCATTTTTTTATGTCTGGTTCAAGTGATTGTGTATGTTTATAATATATCATCATCATAAAACAAATTATTATTTTTGTTTTTTTCTTCTAGTCCAGACAGTTTTTTACACTTAAATGAAAAAATATGGAATGCTAGTAAGAAAAAAAATATATAATTCTAGGAAAATTGTTTATTAATTATTTTATTTAGAAAGATTCATTATTGTAACATGTATTGCTTATACAATTCGTGTATTAGTACATTATATGCATATATCATTAGCTAAATATGTATTTTTAACACAAAATGAATTAAAACAACTTGGATTATATGTACCGGGTAAGAAACATTTTTATTGTAAAACTATTTCAACATAAAATTTTTTTTCTATAGAACAAGGCATGGTTATTTGTGATAATCCTCAATTAGCAGAAGCTGCTTATAATCGTCATCGATATTTAAATAGATTATTATGTTGGATTTCACCTCAATCATTATATACATCTATTCTTAATCAACAAAAAACAACGGGTCCAACACTTCCATTACGTGTTCTTACAGCGACACTTGCTGATCGTGTAGCTTCATTAGTAAATAATACTCGTCAAGTAACATCACCAAATAAATTTGATCAACAGAGAGATCTATATGAAAATTCAAATTCAAGTATTGCTACTCCTGATCCATTAGCAACATTAAGAAATAGTGTCTATTGGCAATCATCACCAGGTTTGAAAAAAAATATGACTTATAAGGGAACTACCTGAGGTGTCAACAAGTTTTTGAGCTGGAATTTCGCCCAAGTTGATGTTTGACTGAGATATCGACTATTTATGGTAATTGTCCTATCTATGCGGTAAAATCAAAGTTTCGAATTTAGACCTGAAATTTTGTGCAGACTAAGGCCTTAATCAGACAAGCTTGTTTTCGAAATTTCAGAACTTTTCAGCTCAAAAACGTTTTGACACCTCGGGTAGTTCCCTCGTTAGTTATTAATTGTATGAAAAACGTGTTTTTGTTCTATTTTGAATAGAATCACCATCAACAAATTTAAGTGATTGTTCACGTTATTTAACTGAACTTGAACGTGATGCATTAGATTTATCAGCTACAAGTCATAATCGAAGTTTAAATGAATGTAAGTTCATTATATCGAACTGATTTATTTTCTAATAATATGTAAATTTTATTATTGAAGCGTTTGGTCGAAGTCCTATTATGGCAACCAATGCTATGAATGATACAGTAGCTGAACTTCGATCTCGTCCATATCAAATGGCACATATTCGTTCAGCTACAAGTCAAAATGGTTCAACTGTAGTCGATGATGATACACGTAAATCAGATTATAAAAGAATTATTAGTAGTAATACGGGATCTGGTAGTGGTCAAACAAGTGGTACACAAACAATAATTGTAAATATCAAAAATATATTATCCATTATAAAAAAAATTTCATTTATAGAAATGGCGTAAAGTCCGTATTGATGGTCCACAATTATTCGTCTTACGTGAAAATATGCGCAAAGTATATATTGAAGATTATTTTTTATATGTAAATTACATATATTTTTATCTAGTGGTTAACAAAAACAATTCTCATTCCATTAACACGTGATATTGAAAATTTAAATCAATCATTAATTGCTCTTGGACATACAGATATAACCATCGGAAGTATGTTAATCATTTGATTATTTTTTTTTATAAAAAACTTTTATCTTAGAAACAACAACGAATGAAATAAAATCATTTATACGTACATGTACAAATTCAACATTAGTTTCTCAATTAAATGAAATATTACCTAATTTTGAAATTCATTCTAATCAAGAATATATCCTTTCAAGAATACAAAGTATATTTTATTAATAGGAAATAAACAATTATTAAATATTTGGGTTTTTTAGTCTTAGCTCGTACCTATATGTCTGGTTATAATTGGAAATCAGGTGTAATTACTGATGCTGAACTTGTATTCAATTTATTTTGTATTTATTTTGATCGACGTCTTACACCCGATCCACGATTCTTAGATGGAAAAGTTTTTCGTGGAAATTATATTGTACGACAAGCACAATTAACAAGTAAATATATATAGATTAGAAATGGATTTTCATAGATTGCTAATGTATGTTTATATTTAGATACAGCTCGGTATCCAACAGGTATCTTTGTCTATCAAGAAAAACCACCAATTTATAAAGTTTTATCAAATAGTGAAATTCATGATGTACCAGCAGTGAGTAGAATATTATTTTTTCATTAAAAATATTACTATATTTTTGAAAGGGTGATCATAATTTACTTGATTGTCTTCTTCTATTTGTTGAATGTGTTAATTCAACTCGAAATGGACATCTTGGGTAAGTTATTTAGTAGAAAAATATCATCTTTCTTATTTTTTTGTATTTTAGATCATTGAATTTAGGTGCTAGTGGTGTGGATATTTTATGGACTATTATTTCACCATCATCACCATAAACATGAATTATAAATTAGATGAATTTTTCTTGTGATATTTAAAAAAAAACAATTAATTCAGATGTGCAGATATTTTTGTATTCATTTCTTTGCTTTTGTTATTAAACTAATTTTCACTAGATTAACATGTAAAGTTTAATAGCAAACAAAAATATACAATGTTTAAAATTTAGTCTTTATTGTATTAAGAAGTTTTCCGCTGCTATTACTGACGTAAGTGAGTAAATTCCATATTTTAACATATCTCAACGTTATGTCGATTTTATTGAAGAGGGATTTAATAGTAGATAATAAGATCAGTTTATTGCTGTTTTCATAAACCCTGAAAGAGGGAAAAAGCAGAAAATGGTGATCTGTATTTACAGAAATTGATAGAAAAACGATGCAGAAACAAAGATTAGAACAGATATTTTTTCTAGAATAATTATATTTAAACATATGAAACTTTCGCTGTTAATTGATCTTCGAGTAGTAGTTTGAAAATTCGTTGGAGATAGCTTTGTACATAATAAGATCAATTAACAACCTTGTTATATAGGATTTTATTTATCTCTATCGAGAGTTACTTTAAAGTTGCTTCATAGATGTTATTCAAAAACTTACTCCTATGAGCATGGGTGTGAATGTGGATATAGTGAAATAGAACAACCACCCTCAAGATTGATTTATAGTTTCTTGTTTCACCCTATGTTATAAATCATTCTTCGGATATTTATCCGTTAAAACATCTTATCTATTGAATGATTTGTACTTTTTTGGCGATGTTAAGTAGAATTCACTTTGTATCCGAATAATAATTCATATAAATAAAATACATGAATAAACATAACATCTCTCTCAATTCTATTAAGGAAGTCATCAGGAAAATGAGATGTTTGGATATATCATTAAAAGTTAAAGGATAAAATAGAACAATTTCAGTATTCAATGAATTCAACGTTAATGCCTTTTTCCTTTCAGAATCGATGTTTTTAGTTCATAAATTGAATTATCAGTGGCAATATCAAGTTTGAATGTTTTATTAATAAAAACAATAATCGGAATCTGTCAATGAACTGATTCACATTTATTTTTATATTCATAATTTGTTCATTGTCAAAATTTTAAGATCAATAAATGCGTTGGTTTTCAATGAGTTGACAATTGATGAGCAAAAAAAAGATATTCACTCAGGTAGAAAAAATAATTAATTCATGTGATTTGTAGTCGTTTATTTGTTGAACACTAAACTGATGATGTTAAACAATTCGACTAGAAAATATTGCTACTTTTAAGAATAGTATAAAATAATTAATTGTAAAAGTGAAATAAAATACTTTTATACAATCATTTGAATTATTTTCTTTTATTAAATGTTACATTTCAATTAAATATTTCTTCATTTAATTTCATTATTTTCTCTAAATAAAAAACATTTGATGATTTGCTAAATAATTGTTTAATTGTGAAGTTTTTTTATTTTCTTTTGTTTATCGATATAATGGGAAAAAATCATTCAATTTTTCTTCATCCTTTGATTATTTAAATTAAATTCGATGAATCATTTTGTTAACTAATGAAATTTTATAAAATATGTTTTATTTGTTTTTTCCTTTTATCTACATTTTAGAAATAAATTCAAATATTTGAAGAAAAAAAGAATTTTTATTTTATTTCTCAGTTGTTTCTAAATTTTTCTATTGACGAAAAAAGATTTATTTAAATAAATAAGAATTTGTTTATCAAACAATTCAAATTTAGAATTTATTTTTTCTCTTCGATTTTGATTTTTTGATAAAACAAAACAAATTTGACCATTTGTTTATTTTTCTAATTGTTTATCATTATTTTAATGAATTATTTTGTTTTAAATAAATTTTTTTAATCTAACTTTCGGTTTTAACTGATTCCATTCTTATTCATTTATATATTTTCTTCTCTCTTTCCTTTCTCTCAATCAATCATAAAATCATAAAAATAAATCTAATAAAAAAACAATTTGTTTCTATTTACAAGTTTCTGTTTATTAATTTAAATGTTTTACTCAATTTGAAAAATATTTTATTTGATTTCTCTATAAAAATTTAATTTTTTCTACTTGAATTTTCTTTGAAACTCTTTTAATTTGATTCACTCAAGAAACTTTCTATCCGAACTATTTTATTCATTTCGGTTTTTTTTAGTTTAAAACTAAAATTAACAAATATTTATTTACTTTTCTAAAAATGAGAAGCAATGTTATTTATTTTCTATAAAGATTTTTCATAAATTAATGTTTTTTATTTGTTTTCAAAAATAAAAATCGAAATTTTATCAAGTTAAATTAAAAACATTTTTAGTTTGCAATTTTTTCATATTTTTGGATTCGATAATTATAACAATCAACAACATAAAGATTTCCTTCATTATCAAATGATAGATTTCTGGGAGAATTCAATTGATTTGATTGATCTCCTTTACCATTCCCACCAACAACAATTTCACCTTCTGCATCTCCTTCACACCAACGTACAATTCGATGATTTCCACAATCTGCTACATAAATATGGCCCAAATGATCAACAATCACTCCTCGAGGACAAGATAATTGTTTCAGACTATCTCCGTCACCATTTCCACCAGCCACAATAATTCCTTCTTTTGCATCTTTTTTCCATTTCATTATACGATGATTGTCTGTATCTGATATATAAAGAGAACAATCTTCATCAATAAAGATATTATAAGGAGAATTAAGTTGATTAAGATTATTTCCTTGACCATTTCCACCTGCAACTAACTCACTTCTTCTACTTCCTTGTTTCCATCGTCTTACTTCATGATTCGCCCAATCAGAAGTATAAATAAATCCATTTTTATCAATTGTAAGACCCTCACAATTAATATTTGAAATAAGAATTTCTTGATTAGTTCGTTTTTGCTGAAAATATCGAATTACTCGGTTGTACCAATCATCAGAAATAATACTTTGTTGATTTGTTTGATTTTTATCAAAATATCGAATTACTTGTGCGTGATCTGTATCAGCAATAATAAAAGATTTATTTTTTTTATCGAAAATTATATCTGTTGGATAATTCAATTGATTATTTTCATTTCTTTGCCCATCTTCACCTGCAATGATTTCACCAGTATTTGAATTTAATTTCCATTTAACAATACGATTATTCAAAGAATCAGCAATATAGATTGATTTATCATTATCAATAAAGATTCCACGAGGAGAATTGAGTTGGTTTAATTCTCGTCCAAATCCATTTCCTCCAGTAACAGTAATTGCAAATTGTTTATATTGATTCTTTTTTATTTGAATTTCTCCTAAAAATAAAAGAGTTTCTTCTTATTCAAAAGCTTTTTATTATTTATAAATTAGAAAAGGGCGAAAATAAAAAGGAAAACTTCTATTTGAATTTATTTTAATAAAATCAAAATTTTGTGTTATTAAATTTAATTTTTAATGAACAAAATAAATTCTAAACAATTTCTTCATTCAATTGAGATTTTTTAATTGAAAATTCTTTATTTGATTTTCATAAATGTTTAATTCTGTGAAATATTTTTAAATCAGATTATTTTTACTTCGATAATCTAGATAAAATTGATTAAAACTTTCATTTGTTTGAAAATTCTAAACTAAAGAGTTAAACTTAACTTAAATTTATTGAACAGTTTAAAAACAAGATAATCTTTTCATTAAAATACTAAAAGAGATCTTTCAAATGCAAAAAATCTATTTATTCTGATAAATTTGTTTAGATTAGAATTTTATATTTGAATAAATCTTTTAAAAACAAAAAATTAATGATTTTATAAAAAATATCGAATAGAATTATTTTTATTAGGTTAGATAAATATTTTACATAAATTCTATAGATGAAATGATGATATTATTTGTAAAAATAAATTTTATATTATTAATAATAGTCTAAATATCTCAATGAGAAAAATAATTCGAAAACGATGGATGAAATCTCTTTTCAATGCTATATTAAGTGATATAAAAATAGAAAAGAACCAAATTATGAATATTCTTTCAAGAGAAATTGTTATTTCTTATCTAAAAAATAATATATGAAAAAGTTTTATCTCAATTTTAAAAATAATAAAACTATTTTTGAGACAAAACTATTATTATTTTTTATTTTATACTACAAAATTCTTTTAGATGATTTTTTTATAATCTAATAGATTTTTTTAGTTTTCAAATATAAGAAAAATGTTAAAATATTTTATTATAAAAAGAAATATAATAGATAATATTTTATTGAAACAAAAAATCAATTATTTATAAGTTATTCTATTGAATTAGATTTTATTTTCATCGATCGTTAAAACAATTGTTTTATCATTTATCTGCTAAATAAAATTGCAGAAGTATAACCTTCAGTTATTCTATTTTCTAATTAAAATTTTTAATCGATCAAATTCAATAATAAAACAAGTAACGCTCGTCTAAGGACTCGCTTAGCTCTTTCTCGTAGAAATGTTGTTCTACAATGCCAAGGGACCTTTTGCTTATATAACTTGCAAACACTAACATCAGATTCGTGTTCCCCGACTTCCAAAACCGTTTCGTCAAATTTTATACAAAAAAAACGTTTTTGCAAAAAAAACGATCCTCTGTCTAAAAACAAATTTGTTTTTTAAAGAATTTTAAAAAACTAACATCAGATTCGAAGTCCCTGCATCGAAATACCTCTAGAAATATCTTTTCTGAAAAATTGGTCTTCGATGTTTTTTTGACCCTGCGGACACACAAGCAAGCAAGTAAACAAACAATTTATGTTTACTGAACTCTTCTCTACGAGAAAGAGAACAAGTAACGCTCGTCTGCAGACTCGCTCAGCTCTTTCTCGTAGAAATCGTATTCTATAATACTAAACTTTTCGCTTATACAGTTTGGAAAATTAACACCAGATTTGTGTTCTTCTACCCCACTTACCCTTCGGTCACCCCTCATGAAATTTTTTTTTTATAAAAATTGGTTCTCTCCCTAAAAAAGTGATCAATAAAATTATTTTATAAAACTAACATCAGATTCGAGGTCTCCACATCGAAATGCCCAAAAAATGTCTTTTCTAAAAAATCGATTCTCGAATTACCCTCTAGTAAAACTTTCTTGGAACTATCTTTAAGATTAATAATATTAATTAATTATTAATTGATTTTTAATTAAAATTAAGCTCACATTCGAATTCTTGGCACTCGATTACACTTCGGTCAAACTTTTTTCAAAAATTAATAATATCAATTAATTTAGTAATATCAATTATTAACTGATTATTAACTAATTAATTTTAATAAATCAATTTCAGATTCGAGTTCTCCATACTCAATTACCCTTTGGTGCAACTTTTCTGAAAATATTTCAAAAACTAATAATATTAATTATTAACTGATTATTAACTAGTTAATTTTGATAAACTAACCTCAGATTCAAGTTCCCCGCTCTCGATTACCCGCCAGTCAAAGTTTTCCGGAAGTATCTGAAAAATTGAATTTGAATGTTTTTTTGACCCTGCGGACACACAAGCAATCAATCAAGCAAGCAGACAGTTTATGACTACTGGACTCTTCTCTAGGAGAAAGAGAATATCAGATGTATCTTATTCCTCTGATTATTTTGAGATTAATATCATAAATTTTGCAATGATTTATTTATTAAATTATTTGCAATTGGAAAATAAATTATTTTCTTGGATTTTTCTACAAATATTTTTCTTCTAACAATATGTTTTGATTATTCAAATAAACCAAATGTTTTTTGAATTTGAAATAAATATGAGCTTTTAATCAAAAACTAACCTCATCCTAAATCATTTCAATTTCTTATTCAATTGATTTAAGAAAATTCTGAGAAATAAAATAATATTCTCTATTAATTTATTAATTAGATTTTACACAATGATTCTCATGTTCATTTATTTATCGAAATTCATTTTATTGATTTGTTATTTAATAGATATAAAAGTTAAACTACTTACCTGGATTTGCTGATCCAGATAGTTCTTCATGAGTTTTGAGTTTTTGATCCATAAAATAATAAATTATCTAATAAATTATTAAATGAAATAAATGAAAGAGATAAGTTTAAAAAATTTATATCACATAGAAATGACTGATTCTAATAAACAAAATAAATAAATTTGTTACAAGAAAAGAAAAAAAGATATTACATGAAGATTTAATTATAATTTAAAATAATCTATTTAATATTATTAGGTTATTCATGATAAAATGATAGTTCTACTAAATAAGTATTAGATCAATCGATGCTTTTCTACTTATATTTGAGTGTGGGTGTGACAAAGTCTTGTATTCATCCACCCCCTCCCCCTTTACTTCACAAGTTTTCACAATCAAATATTTCTTCAACGTTTTTTTTCTTCTAAATGCTTGTAACTATAGCACTCATTCAGAAAAACCGAAAGAAATTCTTCAATGAAATGAACAATAACATACTATTTTTATTTCACAGAATAATAATATTATAACATAAGGATAACAAAACTAATCATGCAACAAATCTTTTTTCCTATTAATTTTATGTACACTATTTGCCTTTCAGAGAATACTAATATCACGGAACAACGATAAACGAAACGAATCATATAAAAACAATGGAACGAATGTTTTTCGATAACTAACAAGAAAAAACTATTTTAATTTAAAAAAATACTAAATGTAGTGTATAAAGACTGTGATCATTATAACACACTGACGAAAAACCTGGTGACATGTTAATACTATATAAAACTTGATCAAAGTTATCTAACAACGAGAACATCAAGTTAAATATAAACTCTCTATAATTTCGAAATATATTTAAGTTTCATAATTTCTCAAATAATATAAGTTGTGTCTACTTTTGCTACAGTATTGACAACTTATTCGTTTATACTATGCAGAAACAGTTAATAATGTTGGATAAAAACACTGCTTACCTTATATTACTCCGTATAGGATGTTTGATTTTGAATGTGAGAATGTTAGTGATGTTCGTTGATTATATACCAACAACTTGTCTGTATCTCTCTTTTTTATTTTTCTGTTTTCGCGTTCGCTGTTCTTACCTATCTTTTGTATTTCATAACAGTGTTATGGCTCATTAATCAAGCTATTACTCATGTTTTCGAACTAACCAGTGTTTGACGTCGAATACGAAGAAAATATTTGGACGTTTCAGTAATAATATAAAAAAATACATATCAAAGCATTAATATTTTCAACAATAAAAATCGAATATATGCACGATGTCTGAAAAGTAAATTATTCAGATATTTTAGTGCTGAAAATTATTTAAATCAAGCTCAATATTCTGTAAATGTGCACAAATCTTATTTTTTATCAACAGGATTTTCATTGATAATGATCAAAAGTTCGATGTAAAGTGTAGAAAAAATAGTTCTTGACATTTTTCTTATGAATATATCTTTGCAATTTTTTCAAAAACAAAAAAAAAGATATTTGAGAAATATTTTATTAGAAGGAAATTGTTTAAGATATTTCATAAGTGATAAACGAGACAAAACGATGATATAGTAAGAAAGAAAAACTATATAGATGTTTCTTTTATCTAATATTTTCAAAATATTATTTCTGAGTTGATAGATAATATTGACAATAATTCGATTGTATATTATAGATTCTTATTATGATCAATATCATACGTAAGTTTTTGATGTTAATAACTGTCAAATTTTATCAAATGATTTTTTACGACGTACTCAGATTGTTTGTCAATACTTTTCTTTGTTGTCTATTTAGTTTAAGAATGATAATTTGTCTTGTTTGTAATAGCTCAGAATTAAAATCAATATTTAAATAATCAACTTTATTATTTTGCCCATAAATATATAACAGATTAAGATGTTCGATGAACTTATTCTGTTATTTACTGTTTCTTATAATAATTATATTCTACAGACTTGAACTGTTTCATATATCAGAGTTTCTAACATTATTATTGTTTAAGTACTAATAAAATTTAAAATTATCGAATTTTTCTTGAAAAAAAATCTTATATTTAATATTGTATAATACTTAGATAAAACTTAATTATGATTCTTTAGAAATAGATCAAATAATATATAACTCGATTTCACTTTTGTTACACTAGGCTTATATTTATTTTGCAACGTATAAAATCTTTGTAAAACTTATAAAATGATCGAATATTAATGTAATTTGAAATATCAATAAATATATTGCATAGTTTTTGAAAACTATAATTGTTTTTCTTACTTGGTGTATTCTTCAATATATGACGCCATTATCAGATATGCTTCTTGTCAATTTTCATATACAATATATGGAAATAGAAATGAAGAGGATGTGAATATGGTCGTGTGGATGATTAACTAACTATCAACAACCTCCTAATATCCACACCCTATTGAAAGAAATTTTATTTCTTTATTTTTATTTATTTTCTTTAAGATTTTTCATAAATTAATGTTTTTCTTTCGTTTATTTTCAAAAAATGAAAATAAAAACTTAATCAAATAAAATAAAAACTACTGTTAATCTGAAAGTTTATCAAATTTTCGGATTCGATGATTGTATTCATCAATAACATAAAGATTTTCTTCATTGTCGAATGATAAACCTTTGGGAAAATGCAATTGATTTGGTTCACTTCCTTCACCATTTCCACCAACTACAATTTCACCTTCTGCATCTCTTTCACACCAACGTATTATTCGATGATTTCCACAATCTGCCACATAAATTTGACCCCATTTATTAATAAACACTCCTCGAGGATAAGACAATTGTTTGAGACTATTTCCTTCGCCATTTCCACCAGCAACAACTTCACCTTCTTTCGCATCTTTTTTCCATTTCATCACACGATGATTGTCTGTATCTGATATATAAAGAGAATAATCTTGGTCAATAAAAATAAAAGTAGGATAATGCAGTTGATTAAGATGATTTCCTTGACCATTTCCACCTGCAACTAATTCACCTTCTGTATCACCTTGTTTGAATCGTCTCACTTCATGATTTTTACAATCAGAAACATAGATAAATCCATTTTTATCGATTGTTAGACCCCAACAGTTAATATTTGAAATAATAATTTCTCGATTTGTTTGATTTTGAATAAAATAACGAATTACTTGTTTGTTTCCATGATCAGAAATAATAAAAGAATTAGTTTTTGTATCAAAAATTATATCCCTTGGATCATTCAACTGATTATTTTGATTTCCTTTTCCATTTCCACCTGCAATGATTTCACCAGTTTTTAAGTTCAATTTCCATTTAACAATACGATGATTCTCAGAATCAGCAATATGAATTGATTTATCATTGTCAATAAAGATACCTTGAGGATAAGAGAATTGATTTAATTCCTGTCCTTGTCCATTTCCTCCAGCAACAGTAATTGCAAACTTTTGAAATTTATTCTTTTCTGCTTGAATTTCGTCTAAAATAAAAGGTCAAAAATAAGAAGAAAACTTGTATTTGAATTTGTTTTAAAAAAAACAAAATCTTTTCATTAAAATACTAAAAGAGATTTTTTGAGACTAATTAATTGATTAATTATAATATAATGAAAAACAAAACTAATCTAGATGATTTTAATTTACAATAAATATATTCAGCTCTTAATATAGTTTTATTTTCTTTTTTAAAAAACTATTCGAATGATTAATTTAATTAACAATCATATAAATGAAAACAATTTATGATAAAATTCTATCTCAATTTTAAAGATAAAAAACTATTTTTCAGAAAAAAATACTATTATTGCTATTTAATGAAACATACTTTGTTCTGTTTGAGAATGACTTGATTGAGAAGAATCTTAATAAAAAGAAAATAAAATGATTTTATTGAACAATAATAGAAAAATAGTATAACCTTTCGGCATTCTCATACAATCGCAATCAAAAACATACCTAATAATACAGGACAGCCAGGATTCCACTGTGTTTCTTGATTAATACCAACAAATTCATACAATTCATATACTTCATAAGTAGCAATAATATTTGGAAATTGAAGTGCTGGTTGTGTGTCTTCAGATTTACTCGTAAAAATTAATACAGGAGCACGTGATGCAACAGCACGAACTGCTCGAATTACATCTACTGCCGTTTTTTGTTTGTTAAGTGACCATGTAGTAATCACCTTGAACAGAATGTCTTGCTTTCCTAAACGTTCATTATTGTTCGCTATCCACTCTTGAGCTTCTTCGATAGTACGAACAACATGTAGTTCATGAGCTGTTGTTGATGGATTGGTGAATTTAGGAGAAGTTTGAATTGAATCAATAATTTTCTGTGTATTTTCACTCATATTGTCACCAGTGATGCATAAAATAAGAAAGTGATGTTGAATGATTCTTTTGCTTGGTGGACGATCTGAAGTGATTTTTCCTAATGTTGGTACAGGTAAAAATTGTTGCTGATTGAATGGAAAGATATCTTCGACAGAAACTTCAGTACCACTCATCTCTCGTATTGGCCATGGATTAGCTAATGAAAGTTGAGCGACAACATTATGAGAAATACGATTACATGCAGATTGTAATTCTTCATCAGTTACTAATCTTGTTTGATGAGGCCAATCAGATCATTGTTTAAGACGTAATCTTGTTTCTTGCAATTTTTTATTTAAGTTCTTTGTATATCTGACGTAACAATGATTCAAATGAGCATAGGTATAAGCTTCTTCAACACTTGCATCGATCGAATCCATAAGAATACGTAACGAACGGCCTTGTTGTTCACGTGCTCTAAGACGAGCCATAAAACCTTCATAGTCGAGAAAATCGAGAAATTGAAGTGGAGTATGAACTTCGATTGAATAAGGTGATGTTTTAGATGTACATGTACGAAGGATATTTCGTGCAAGTGCCATAGCTGCTTTCATTCCACTATTCATTCCTCGACCGGGCCAGAAATGTACATTCATTGCCGCATCACCAGCAAGACATGCTAACATTGTCTTAAATTGTTTTTTCTTACTGCCACCTGCATTCGCTGTTATTGATGTCGTTGGATGTGTTTTGGTAATTTCTAAACGAAGTTCTCGAACAACAATGGATGCATGTCGAACATTAATCTCAATTGGTACACCACGAATAACATATTTTGCAGATATTTTAAAAAATTCTAGTCCTTGTCGAACAATTGACCATACAGGTGAATGTGGACATTTATCATAATCTAATAAATTTAATGAATCATTACCATCTTGAAATTTTTGTAAACATTTAATTAATTCTTCATACTCATTTTTAATTAAACGAATGTTGAGATAACCTCGACGACTCGTTGACGAATTTACTAAATAACGTGTTTGTGAGATTGTTAATATACAATTAAGTGCTTGATGGAGAGGTTCATCTGCTTGTGGCACACCTTCAGGTATATTATATGCTACACCACATGCATATTCGATGCCTTCACTGATCATTTGAATATTACAGTAACGACGAACAAACGAATTCGATCCATCAGCACCCACTAATACATCAAAATCACCTATACAAATTTTAAGTTGAATATATTTTTAAAACAACAGGAAAAAAAATCAATGTCTATTTACCTTCAATCAAATGTTTAGATTGTTCATTTAACTGCTCAGGAATTAATTCTACTTGACCATTTTGAACAAATGGTTGAATGAGATCAAGAAGTCGATCTTCAACTTCTCTTATTGGAATATTTCTTGATGTTGGCCATACACGTTCGTTGATATTTTTGAATAGGCCTTTTTGAATAAACAAAGGCATTTGTTCTATAACATGGTCTTGTAAAGTAACAACTTGATCACGACGAGTTTTGGCTTGCCAACGAGTAGCACCATGTTCATCAACAAACCATCGACCTTCATAAATAATAATTTTGACATGTTTACCCATCATGGCGGCAATATTAAGTGCAAAGGTGAGTCCAACCGGTCCACCACCGGATACAACAATGACGAGTGGTGATGGTGATGTTGTGCTCGCCATTAAGTGTTGCTCTGAAAAAACAGCTGAGTATGATACATTAAAAAAATAGTTATATCTCTGTCGCTTGTTGTGAGGAATAAAGAGTAACGATAGTCAGATGAATAAAAAGCATCTTAAGGGTGTTGATGTGATAGTTGTTATGTTAGTGTACCCACACCCTATGGAAAATATGATCGTGAAATAAATCGAGAGAACTTTCAAGTGGAAAATGAGCATATATACTGTTGACAGATGTCGAAGTCGCAAAACGAAAGAGAAAAATAAATATCACGTATCATCCGTTGACATAGCAGAATAGAAGAAAAAATAGAGATGAATGATACTATAGTATATTTCTATTTCTACACTTGAATAGTAGTCAAAACAAACTGTCTAAAGAATTTAGTTGTTTTTCATAGAAATACTAGAAATAAGAAAATGACTCTTATTTCAATATCAATAGTTATTAAATAACCGAAAATGATTGAGAAGTTAATAATCATGTATACTTTTTTTAAGTGAAAACAAGTAAATCAAAGATAAAGGTAAACACTTAAGTTACTTATATCATTGATATTTCATTATATTATAACACTTCATATCTATTAGAAAAATTATTTTCTTACACTCTTCTCTATGTTATATTCTTCTCAAATGAATTTGAACAAAAACAACAAGGCGTTCATAAATATAAAAGAATATACAAATAAAAGTAAAGAATATGTACGATAAGAATGAATGTAAAACTATAAAATGATATTAATGTTCGTACTTGTAAAGAGTGACTAATACTTTATATTCGAATTATCTGTAGCTCTTATCTTCGTTTATTTAGTGAACAAGTGATATTTATATATGAAATGACGATAAAAGTAAAATGATGATGAAGTGTTAATCGACGTCAGAAAAAAGAATTAATCCACTAAATCGAAGTTATTAGAAAAATAAACGAAAGAAAAGAAAGGTCGAGGCATATATTTTACTACTTTACTATAATAGAAGCCAACAAGAAAACTAGTATATGATTGAATTAAAGTTACTTTAGATATCGTAAGATTAAATGATAATAAAATCGACGCGAAAATATTTATCTTATCATAAATCTTTAAAAAAATTTTAATACTAAATTATAATCAATACACATATGAAATAATAAATATTGAACATTTTCTGTTAAAATAATTATGTGATACATTTGTATTTAATTGAGTTATTATTTCAGTGGATATTTATAAACTTCTATGACTTACTGAGTACTTCTTACGAAATCTCGTTTCATTAGATTTTGTAGAGAATAGAATGATGTATTTCTTAAAAATAAATGAGGCCGAAAGGACACAAATTCGCAGAGATATTCGAATAATACTGAGACCGTCATTCTTTATGAACCACATTTTATATTCAAAAAATAAAAAAAATTCGATCTTTTGTTTAAAAAAAATATTTTATTCGATTTTTCTATAAATATATAATGTTTTGTAGTTGAAATTTATTTGAAATTATTTCAATTTGATTCATCCAAGAAAAATTCTATCAGAATCATTTTATTCATTTTCATTTTTTCTTTATTTTGTTTTACAATTTGTTTATTTTACATTAAATTAACAAATATTTATTTACTTTTTGATAAAAATGAAAAACAAATTTTTTAATTCATTTTCATTGATTTTGGTTAAAGACTTTTCATAAATCAATATTTTATTTATTTATTTCGAAAGACAAAAATACACATGTTTATTTTGAAACACAAAAATAGACATTTTATCAAACTCAATCAAACGAGTTTTTAATTTTAGATTTTTGCATATTTTTGGATTCGATGATTCCCAGAATCAGCAACATAAAGATTTCCATCATTATCAAATGATACACCTGTTGGCCCATTCAATTGATTTGGTTTGTTTCCTTGACCATTTCCACCAACAACAATTTCACCTTCTGCATCTCGTTCACGCCAACGTACTATTCGATGATTCCAAAAATCTGCTATATAGATTTGACCCAAACGATCAACAAACACTCCACTAGGACTATTCAATTGTTTGAGACTATCTCCTTGACCATTTCTACCAGCAACAACAATTCCTTCTTTTGCATCTTTCTTCCATTTCATTACACGATGATTCTCTGTATCTGATATATAAAGAGAATAATCATCATCAATAAAGATAAAAGTAGGATAATGCAGTTGATTAAGTTGATTTCCGTAATGATTTCCCCCTGCAACTGTTTTATCTTCACCATCTCCTTGTTTGTATTGTCTTACTTCACGTTTTTTACAATCAGAAACATAAATAGATCCATCTTTGTCGATCGTTAGACCGTTGCAAGAAGTTTCTGGAATAATAATTTCTCGATCTGTTTGATTTTGAATAAAATATCGAATTACTTGTTTGTTTCCATGATCAGAAATAATAAAAGAATTATTTGTTTGATCAAAAATTATGTCTCTTGGATCATTCAACTGATTATTTTGATATCCTTTTCCATTTCCACCTGCAATGATTTCACCAGTATTTGAATTCAATTTCCACTTGACAATACGATTATTCAAAGAATCAGCAATATAAATTGATTTATCATTAGCAATAAAGATCCCTTCAGGATAGTTGAGTTGATTTGGTTCATCTCCATTTTCATTTCCTCCAGCAACAGTAATTGCAGATTGTTGAAATTTAGTGTTTTTTGTTTGAATTTCTCCTAAAAATAAAAGGTATTCTTTTTATTCAAAATGTTTTTTTGTTATTTTTAAACAAAAATAAGGACGAAAATAAGAAGAAAAACTTGTATTTGAGTTTGTTTTAATAAAATAAAGTTTTCATTTTCTTAAATTTAGTTTTTAATGAACGAAACTAATTTCAAATAATTTCTTTATTCAATTGAGATTTGAAAATTAAAAATTCTTGATTTCATTTTCATAAAAGTATTATTTGAAATAAAAATGTTTTTTTAAATAAAAATCATTTTCATTTCAAGTAATTTAAAAAAAATCGATTAAAAACTTCTTATTTATTAAAAAATTAAATAATTCTTTTATTTGAAAATTCTAAACTAAAGACTTAAAATTGACTTAAATTTATTCAACAATTTCAAAAACATGATGTTTTCGTTAAAATATTAAAAGAGATTTTTCAAATAAAAGAAAATTCTATTTATTCTCAGAATTTTGTTTAGATCCGATTTTTATATTAGAATAAATCTTTTAAAAAACATAAAAGGTAATGATTTTATAAAAAAATAATTAACTAATTAATTTGTTGAGATAAGATTTCGAATTAATTCTATAGAAGAAATGAAGATATTACTTGTGTCATAGATTTTTTTTCGAACAATTAATTAATTATAATATAAAGGAAAATTTGTAAATATTTTTTATGGTGAAGAAACAAAATTAATCTAATTGATTTTAATCTTGAGGGTGTGGGTGTATTCTCTTTCTTTTTGTCTACACCCTCAATTGTATTCATCTACTCCATTCTTTGTACAGCGCATATTTTACGATACTGGGTGGATTAGGGAACACTGATAAAACAAATAGATTTGATAGAGTTTCTCGCATTTATCAGCATCAATAAATTCTTGGTGCTCTACATTAAAATGTGTAGTAGTTAGAAAATCACACAGAGTACATAGAATGAAATGTCAGCTGTTTGTTAAGAAGACGATATTTAGCTCGAAATAGGTCGATGAATGATTATCATATGGCTACTATGAAGACTGGGAGTATGTTGTATCTAATCATTAGCAGCACTTAGTATTATCTTGAGAATAAAAAATATTATTAGTTTATCGAAAAAGTTCTCAAGTGTGAATTGATACACATCGTTTCGGCGAAGCAGACTAATATATATCGTACTTTTATAAAAGACGATTAGCAACATACATATGCTAATTTCTTTTTTCGCTAGTTTGCATAATTAATAACAATTCATTTAATCCCTATAAAAATATGAAGCAGAATTGAAACTACTGCATTTCAACGAACTTTTACGTGTTACAGGGATGTTTTAAGGTTATTTTTGAAGTTTTCTTTATATTTAGAATCTCGAAATAAGTGTGTGTTACGAAAATACTAATTTGACACCATCGGAAAACAAATCAATCTCAAAAGCAAGTCAGATATTTCGTATTTCAAACTTAAATGTAAATGAAGTACGATAATTATCATGCTACAAGTTCGTAGTAGATTCTAACCGTATAAGAATGTTTCAAAAGTAACATTGAAACGTATTCGATGTAAATCTTAGACTCCCTAAACTATCAACACTTCAGCGACAGTAATCTATTTTTGTGATAATCAAAGCACAACATACTATACAGTAGATAGTGGAACTCTGGACAGACTATCAGTACAGGGATTAATTAACATAAATAGAATGCTAATGCATGTGCAACTTAGTGATTTTGCCCTATAGAGCGAGAGCTAAAGAGATAACCTACGCCCTTATATTCACACTCACCTTAATCTTCTGATAGATCTCAGTTATGTGCATAAGACGCATGAACTGAAATAAATATTGTAGATGCCGATGGTAATATACTTCCTCGGCAAAAAGAAGATTAGTTATGTCCAATAGTCCAACGAACTTAATCTATTTCGTTGTTCTGTCACAATCGATCGACAACATTGTTTGTGCATAGGTCTATATGTATGTAATAGCTAACAGACATACATTAATTTTCATTGTGTATGATACAATTTTTAAAAAAATCCGATTCGATACGGTTCGATTTAGTTTAAGATTTTAAAAACTATCCCGACTTGCAATCATTTCAGTCCAAGATTTCTTCAATATCCCTCGATTGCAGTTTGATTCGCATTAAAACTCAAAAACCTTCAACTGATTGTATCACTTTAATCGAGAAGATAAACTGTTACAAAATTCATGTAGTTAACAATAATGTATTAGCCAACTATTTTACTTTTATTTGTTCATACTTATTCGAACATTCTAAATAATTCAGTCTCATTTTGTGGCTTTCGATATGCTATGCGTACGATGAGAAAAGAAGACACTACA